AGATATAGATAGATATGATTCACACACACACACAGATATAGTATCATAGATTTGAAAGGGACCCCTGAAGAAAGACAATGATATGTTTCATATTCCAGAGTAGGCAAACCAGGCACTCTCCACATCAACACTGACAAAGAAACAGCAAGAAATACTGTTTACCCACAAGCAGAAAGACATTACATATATCAGAAACCAACACTTTCTCATTACTTTATTTTCCAGATCAACAGACTGGGCCACAGCAACGCGTGGCAGGGGACAGCTAGTAGGATGATAATCTGATAGATAGATAGCTAGATAGATGGATATAGAATTATCACCTATAGCTATATATACTCCATTTGCTTGACTACCTTCAGATCCTCAGAAGTTGCCAGTAGCTACAGATACAGACGAAACATCAGGGGAAAATGCTGCTAGAACACATTAGCCATACACCCCGGAAACCACACAACACCCCAACCACAATGGGGTGTGTAAACCTCTTGTTCTTTCCCTCCCTTGTCCCTTTTTGGCAGATGTTCTGGCCGTCTTACTGACAGACGTGCTTTTGCTCCTGCAAGAGAAGGACCAGAAATACGTGTTTGCATCCGTGGTACGTATGGTGGGTTTGGAAGCCTCTGGTGGGCAATATAGAACAAGAATAATAATAATTTTTATGTATTCCCCGCCTCTCCTTTCTGCTTAAGGCAGAGCACTAAAAATACATATATTACAATCACATATTAAAACATACTGTATTACATCACATAATAGTTGCACACACACCCTTTTTGGGGTAGCAAAATAGATGTTTTTGTGTTCCTTTCATATTAGTTACAGAGCCATTTGGGGCTGGTCCTTCCTTCTTTCTCTGAAGGCAAGGCAGTTAAAAAACTATAAAATGGAGGTCTCTGGAGCGGTACTCTTTCCTCCTTCCTCAGATGCCTTAAGGAAGTTTGAAATACCGGAAATGGGGAGATTCTGGAACTCAGATCTTTCCTCCTTTCTCCAAAGAGCTTTGTTTCAGATTTCGTAAATTGCCTTGTCATCAGAGAATGGAGGGAGGAAGAAAAGAGTGGCACTCTCCAATAATGAACAAAAGAGGGTGCAACTATTATGCGATGAAATACGGTTGTTAAACCGCAATCATAAAAGCATATATTAAGGCATGATGTGTATTAACATACCTAGGACCAAAGTTATAAAATGAAAGTCCTTAGGTCCAGAGCCTCTGTTGTTGTAGTACAGCGTGATAGTAACGTTACTACTACTGGTAGAAGGGAGAAGAGGGCTGCGCAGGTGTTGGAGGAGGAATCTCCCTTTGTGGACATTTTGGGACCTCATTGAAAGTAGAGACTTCCCTCTTTAGACACTCCTTATTTATTTATTTATTTATTTATTTATTTATTTATTTATAAGTTTTGTATACCAGCCTTCTCACCTCCCTTGAGGGACTCAGTCCGGTTTCCAACCATAATATCACATACAATCAATAAAACATCATAATACATATTACAGTAAAACATTAAAACAGCAATTACAATCAATAACTATAATGGTCAGTCGTCACACTAAAATCGTTGCTCATCATCCTCCATCCATATCTCAGGGTGTTGGCTCACTTGTCGAATGCCTGTCTCCATAACCTGTTTCCTAAATGTCAGGATAGAAGGGGCGGTTCTGATCTTCAGTGGGAGAGAGTTCCAGAGTCGAGGGGCCACCACTGAGAAGGCCCTGTCCCTCGTCCCCACCAGGCGCGCTTGCGAGGCTGGTGGGACCGAGAGCAGGGCCTCTCCAGACGATCTTAATAATCTTGTTGGTTCATAGGGGAGAATACGTCCTGAGTCCCTCTACGGAGGTTGAGAAAGGACAGGATATGAAAGCCCTAAATAAATAAATAAATAAATAAACCAGCCCCAAATGGTTCTACGACTATTATGCGAGAAACACAAAAATACCAAATTTTGCCAACCCCAAAAGGGGGTGCGACAATTATGTGATGAAATATACTATGTTTTAATATGTGATTTTATAGATGTATTTCACTGTGGTGTTCTCCCAATCATACAATTTCATTCAGTCCATTCATTCATCACAAAACGAGGGCCTTCCTCTCCGCAGGACACCAAACCACCGGTGATTTCACTGCAGAAGCTGATTGTCCGGGAAGTGGCCAATGAGGAGCGGGCCATGTTCCTGATTAGTGCCTCCTTGAAAGGACCAGAGATGTACGAGATACACACCGCCTCCAAGGAGGACAGGAACTTCTGGATGGCGCAGATCCGCCGGGCAGTGGAGAGGTGAGCGCTTACAGGCCCTTGGACCCTGGAGGCCCAGATTTAGAGTTAGAAAAAGGACGAGGGGGTGGGACGCTTGTCATGAATACTTCTTGAACCTTAAAAATGCTCTTTAATCCGTTTTCAGTGGGAAAGGTTGCATCAGGCACTTTCAGAGGAAGAAGTAGACATACAAATTCCAGTACTGGGATTTATAATAGCTCTATAGTTACACAGACAAATAAGGGAAATGTCACATATTTTCGTAACATTCACTCGTAATCCATTCATCCACTCATTCATACTCACCATCCTTCATTCAGTTCATCATCACATAAACATTCACTCGTAATCCATTCATTCACTCCTTCATACTCTCCATCCTTCTTCATTCGGTTCATCACCACATATACTTGTAACATTCACTCGTAATACATTCATTCACATTCATTCTCACCGTCCTTCTTCAGTCAGGCTTCTTGGAAGGAGGTGGTTGTCCAAATCCTGCATTCATCGCAGATCTGGCCCACTTTCCGAAGACAAAAAGATCTCCTTATGTAGAGCCTTTTTGCTGTTCTCTTGATTGTTTTGACAAATTGTCATTCAGTGAAGACTTGTTGGCATTTCTATCAATTCCCGAACAGATGTTGTTTGTCTTCCTTAATGTTGAGGAGTTCCTGACTTCCTTTAACTTAAATACCATGCAAACATGAGTTGCATACCCCAAAAGTTCCCAGTTCCCGCTATTGTCAGTGCATCTGCGACATTTTTCTTGCCACAGTTAATGAATATTTCGCCTTCTTTGTTTCTCCGCAACGTGGTTTTCCAGATTTTCAAATTTCTTAGGATGATGTCTTCAGCCTTGACAAGCCTTAATAGGCTTTTAACCGAACCCCAATCATACAATTTCATTCAATTTCTTCCCCTCTGCAGCTGCCCCGACGAAGAGGAAGGAGTCCTCGCCGACCTGGAGGAGGAACGCAAGCAGGCCGAAGCCAGGGCCGCAAAGCTGAAAGACTTCCAAGGTAAGTAAAGGGCGTTCGGAGCCAGAATCCCCTATCATGGCAAATCAGTTATCCATGCTTTTGTTTACCAATTTATGGGGGGAAATTATCTTCCTATTATTTTCTATGGTATTGACGATGCACCGTGCCCCAATATCTCTAGTCATTTTGATTTCCCAATCAGAAACAGGGGGATTTAAAGGGAAACACCGAGAATTTTCTCAAGTCCCTATTTGGGTGCCAAAAATTGTTGAGACACAGTGCCTCAATATCTCTAGTCTTTTTTATTTTCCCAAAGACTAGAAATGAGAAGATTAAAAATACAATTGTTTAATTCCACAGAAGAACTAAGAGGTGGTTCTTTATTTATTTATTTATTTATTTCGGGTACTTTTACCCCACCCTTCTCAACCCCCGAGGGGGGGACTCAGGGCGGCTTACAAAAAAGGCACAATTCGATGCCTATACAAATTACACATAATGTACAAAAACCATAGTTAAAACAGTTATCACAGTTAAAACAATCAGTATATAACACATCATATAAAAACTATTCACATGCTCAGCGTTTGTCTTTCAGAGATAATTCCATTCCATTCGTCATTTCCTGACCATTGTCAAAATCCTTTCTTTATCTGCCCGATTAACCGAATGCCTGGTCCCAAATCCATGTCTTCAGTTTTTTCCTAAAGGAAAGGAGTGATGTCGCCGATCTAATCTCCACAGGTGGGAGGCCACCACCGAGAAGGCCCTGCTCCTCGTCCCCGCCAGCCTCACTTGTGACAGAGGCGGGTTCGAGAGCAGGGCCTCCCCAGAAGATCTTAGACTCCAGGGTGGGACGTATAGGGAGATCCGTTCGGACAGATACACTGGGCCGGAGCCGTATAGGGTTTTGTAGGTCAAAACCAGCACTTTGAATTGTGCTCGGAACTGGATCGGCAGCCAGTGGAGCTGACATAACAGGGGGTGGTATGCTCCCTGTATGACGCTCTGGTGAGCAGTCTGGCTGCCTCCCGTTGGACTAGTTGGAGTTTCCGAACAGTCTTCAAAGGCAACCCCACGTAGAGTGCGTTGCAGTAATCTAATCGGGATGTAACAAGAGCGTGGACCACCGTGGCCAGATCTGACTTCCCAAGGTACGGGCGCAGCTGGCACACAAGTTTTAATTGTGCAAAAGCTCTCCCGGCCACCGCCGAGACCTGGGATTCCAGACTCAGCGATGAGACCAGGATCACTCCCAAGCTGCAAACCTGCATCTTCAGGGGGAGTGTAACCCCGTCTAACACAGGCTGTAACCCTATGCCCTGTTCGGCCTTACGACTGACCAGTAGGACCTCTGTCTTGTCTGGATTCAATTTCAGTTTGTTAACTCTCATCCAGTCCGACAAAGCAGCCAAGCACCGGTTCAAGGTCTGGACAGCCTCTCTGTGTAGTCTGACATGGTGGCTTCTCTGTGTAGTCTGTGGCTTCTCTGTGTAGTCTGACATGGTGGTTGTGAGAGTGGTCCAGCATTTCTGTGTTCTCAAATAATATGCTGTGTCCAGGTTGGTTCATCAGGTGCTCTGCTATGGCTGACTTCTCTGGTTGAAGTAGTCTGCAGTGCCTTTTATGTTCCTTGATTCGTGTTTGGGCAATGCTGTGTTTGGTGGTCCCTATGTAGACTTGTCCACAGTCTACACTCTCACAACCCCCATGTCAAACTACACAGAGAACTACACAGAGAAGCCATTGAAATCCACAAGCATGTGGACAATTTCAACAGAAAGGAAGAAACCATGAAAATGAACAAAATCTGGCTACCAGTATTAAAAAAACTCAAAAATTACAACAGCAAAACAACAAAGTAAACAATCAGGCACATGAAGTCGCTCTCAACAAAAGATTCCCCCCAGGCACTTGCAAGCCATTAAATGCTAATCAAGGTGGTCAGTTGAAACATTCACACCTAGCTGCAGCAGACAAAAGTCCTTTGTCCCACCCTGGTCATTCCACAGATATATAAACCCGTTTTCCTACTTCCAACAGACCTCACTACCTCTGAGGATGCTTGCCATAGATGCAGGCGAGACATCAGGAGAAAATGCCCCTAGAACATGGCCATATAGCCCGGAAAAACCTACAACAACCCAGTGATTCCGGCCATGAAAGCCTTCAACAATACATTTTGCAAGACCATTTGCTCTTGTTGCAACGGTGTTGTAATGGTGAGGCCGCTGACCATATTTTACTTCTTGTGGACTACTGGTGGTCCACAGACCACAGGTTGGGAACCACTGATGTAAGACAATCTATATTCATATACAGCAATCTATATTTATTCATGTACAACCATCTATATTTATTTCTTATATGACAATCTATATTTATTCATGTATGATTATTATTCTATTTATACCCCGCTTTATCTCTCCCGAAGGAGACTCAAAGCAGCTTAACATAAAAGCATTAAAATACAATTTAAAATATACCAATATGCAAATATTAAAACAGAATTAAATATAAACAGTGTTTAAAAATCCACAGTTAAAAACAATTGAAACATTTATATACAAAACATGTACAACCATCTACATCAGGCATGGGCAAACTTGGCCCCTCTGGGTGTTTTGGATTTCAACTACCACAATTCCTTACAGCCAGTAGGCTGTTAGGAATTCTGGGAATTGAAGTCCAATACACCCGGAGGGCCCAAGTTTGCCCATGCCTGATCTAAACTAATCAATGAACAGCCATGTACAACTGGAAGCCATATCCCTTGCTATTTCTGTGCTCTTCACTGTTGTTTCGATCTGGTTAATGTCATGTTTTTCTATTTCCTCCAGAGCGCCTGAGCGCAAAAGACGAGCAGATTGTGCAGAGTCTGAATGAGAAACAGCAGATCTACCTGGAGATGGCTGAGATGTTTGGCTTCGAGGAGCCAGGCCTTGTTCGCACCCCTCTCCTTGTCCCGAAGGCCGAGTCTCTAGAGGACCTCCAAGGAGAAGCCATCCTCAAGCAGGCCATGGAGCAAGGTAGGCACTAGACAGGTGCTGTGGAGGCATTTCCACCTGACGTTTGTCTCGTTGTGACGTTGCCCTTAGCAAGGCACTATTCAGCTTTCAGCCGCTTGAGGTTTCTTGGTCAACACACTTTCCCCATGTGTGATTGAAAGCTTTCATGGCTGGAATCATTGTGTTGCTGTGAGTTTTTTGGGCTGTATGCCCATGTTCCAGTCACATTCTCTCCTGACGTTTTGCCTGCATCTGTGGCAGGCTTGTTCAGAGGTTTGTTCAGAGGTCTGTTGGGAATGAGGCAAGTGGGATGTAGATATATTTATGGAATGTCCAGGGTGGGAGAAAGAATAACAGTTCCTTGTCTGTGTTTGCAAGTTATCTCTGGTCATGTAAAACATGTGTGGTTTCCACCACAGAGTTAATCGTTTGTCTCTGGTCATGTAAACATGTTTGTTTCCGCCGCAGAGTTCATCATTTGTCCCTGGTCATGTAAACATGTTGGTTTCCACCACAGAGTTCATCATTTATCTCTGGTTATGTAAACATGTTGTTTTCCAACACAGAGTTCATCATTTGTCTCTGGTCATGTAAATATGTTGTTTTCCACCACCGAGTTCATCACTGTCCCTGGTCATGTAAACATGTTGGTTTCCACCACAGAGTTCATCATTTCTCTGGTCATGTAAAATAGCACAGGAGACAAGGTGGAACTGTCTTCTGCCCCCACCCCCCTCTCTTTACTCTGGCCCAGAGCAGCAGTTGGTGCAGGGGGGAGGGGTCCCCAACTGATGACATATGCAAGAGACAAGATCGAACTGTCCTCTGCCCTGCCCCTCTTCACTGGGGGGAGACAAGATGGAACTTGTCCCCTGCATATGCTCTGGGCCCTCTCCTCACTCTGGCCCAGAGTGGCAATTGGTGCTGGGAGGAGGGGTTCTCAACTGATGGCATAGGCAGGGGACAAGATGGAACTGTCCCCTGCCCCCCCCCCTCTCTTCACTCTGGCCCAGAGCGGCAGTTAGTGCTGGGGGAGGGGTCCCCAACTGATGACATATGCAGGGGACAAGATGGAACTGTCCCCTGTCCCCCTCTCTCTTCACTCTGGCCCAGAGCAGCAGTTAGTGCTGGGGGAGGGGTCCCCAACTGATGACATAGGCAGGAGACAAGATGGAACTGTCCCCTGTCCCCCTCTCTCTTCACTCTGGCCCAGAGCGGCAGTTAGTGCTGGGGGAGGGGTCCCCAGCTGATGACATGTAACCATGTTGGTTTCCACTACAGAGTTAATCATTTATCTCTGGTCATCAGCATTTCAGCTGATGTCTTCTTTCTGTAGTTTCCCAGCCTCATTTCTTAGGATGGCATCTCTCGCCTCTATAGGTCCTAACCATACATCATTCATTCAATTTCATTCAAACCTTATGTCCTATTCATCACAGATTCTCCTCTGTGTCATTCCAGTGGAGGGTCTGCAGAGCTGGATCTTGGCCCAATTTGGGAGCGGAGCCGATCCCCGTCCCGAAGAGCCCAGCGGGTCCGGAGCCTTGAGGCGTGCAGAGACCTTTGGGGGCTACGACAGCTCCATGGCAGGAACCCCGGCCAAAGGTACATCATATAATATCTAATACTAGCTTAGGTACTTGGCGTTGCCCAGGTTATTTGAAAAAGTGTTTGTGGAGGACATTGGCAGGGCTCTTGGACATGTTCATGGCGTTCACTATAATCTGCAATGTCATTGGAGGGAGGGCCATTGGTGGCTCCTCATGGGTGGGGATCATAGCTATTTGTGGAAGTGGGAGACTGTCTGTTTGTGTATACATATGTGTGTGTGTGTAATTATCATTGGTATTACATTATCATTACTATTCTATATTATATAATACATATTATTACTATATAATAATCTATATAAATAAAAATGTAATGTTCGTTTGTGGGATTGACAGAACTCAAAAACCATTGGACAAATTCACACCAAATTTAGACACAAGACACCTAACAACCCAATGTATGTCCTTCACTCAAAAAAATTGATTTTGGCATTTGGAGTTGTAGTTGCTGGGATTTATAGTTCACCTACAATCAAAGAGCATTCTGAACCCCACCAACGATGGAATTGAACCAAACTTGGCACACAGTTCTCCCATGACCAACAGAAAATACTGGAAGGGTTTGGTGGGCAGTGTGCTTTGGTTTTAGAGTTGTAGTTCACCTACATCCAGAGATCACTGTGGACTCAAACAATGATGGATCTGGACCAAACTCTACAAGAATACTCAATATACCCAAATGTGAACACTGGTGGAGTTTGACCCAGCCCTTGCTCAGGGTCAACCTAAGTCTAAAATGACTTGAAAGCACACAATAACAACAACTATCCTATCTCATCAGCCAAAAGTAGGCCCACACTTCTCATTGAAATACTAATAAGTTGATATTTGTTAAAATTGTTCTTCATTTTAATTATTGTATTGTTTTAAAGTGTTTTCTGCACTACAAATAAGATATGTGCAGTGTGCATAGGAATTCATTCATGTGTTTTTCAAATTATAATTCGGCCGTCAACAGTTTGAGGCACTGTGACCTGGCCCTCTGTTTAAAAAGTTTGAGCACCCCTGCTCTACACAAATAGTCAATATGCCCAAATGTGAACACTGGTGGAGTTTGGGGAAAATAGAATCTTGACATTTGGGAGTTGTAGTTGCTGGGATTTATAGTTCACCTACAATCACAGAGCATTCTGAACCCCACCAATGATAGAATTGGGCCAAACCTCCCACACAGAACCCCCATGACCACCAGAGTGGGCCACAGCAACGCGTGGCAGGGGACGGCTAGTAATAATACATAATAGTAATATTTATTTCCTCTTCGCTGCAGTTGGGATCCTAAGAACTCCCTTTCCTTTGGACATTTGGGATCTCGCCCAGTCTTCCAGGGCAGCTGCATAAATAAAAACCCAGGGACTAAAACAAATACCATCCACTTAACGCTACCATAAACTATCCAGAAGCTAAAATAAATATAGTCCCACTTATGCGGTGATGGAACTGGAGAACATAGAGTCCTGGTCGAAACAGCCAGGGTGAACCATAGGCATTATTACAGTATTATTATTATTTTTATTGACATTATTACAGTAGCATTACAATTACATTATTATTTTATAGTACCATTATTATCGTTATTATTACGTTGTTATTATTATAAAGGTATGTTCAGCTACAGACGAGCTCCTCATCACTTCGGAGGGTTCACAGACCGTCTCCGTGTTACAAACATCCTTTTGGAGACCATGAATAATCCCTCTGAGGAGCGTCTTAAAGAGCTGCATCTATTTAGCCTGCAGAAGAGAAGGTTGAGAGGAGCCATGTATCAATATGTGAAACGATGTCATAAGGAAGAGGGAGCAGGCTTGTTTTCTGCTGTCCTTAGAGCTAGGACTCTGAGCAATGGATTCAAAGGACAGGAAAGGAGATTCCACCTGAGCATTAGGAAGTACTTCCTGACTGTAAGGAGAGCTGTTCAGCAGTGGAACCCTCTGCCTCAGAGTTCAGTTGAAGCTCCTTTAGAGGCCTTTGATCAGAGGCTGGGTGGACATCTGTTGGGGGGGCTTTGATTGTGCTTTTCCTCCATGAAGGACTGGATGGCCTTTGACGGTCTCTTCCAGCTCTATTATTCTGTTATTATTATTAGCATTATCATCATCATCATTATTATTGCAGTGTTAATATTTTTATCACAATATTATTATTACTACATAATAATTATTACAGTATTATAACATTATTATTATATTGAACTATACATTATATATGAACTGTACAGGTGAACTATACATCCCAGTACCTACAACTCCTATAAATCATGGTGAATTCCCCCCAAACCTCTCTAGTATGTTCAGTTGCTGATCAATTTCTGTTTGCTGTGTGTTGTAGAATAGAATAGAAAAGGGTTAAGGGAGAGGCAGTGGGGCAGGGTCATGCAAATTCCACACCAATGGAGAGAGTCAGAAACACTGGGATGTCTGTGGTGGAGGAAGCACATAATATCTAGGATGAAATGGTACCTGTATGAAAGCCTTCATGTGGGTGGTGGGCAGTATTGTGTTTGTGGAGGACATTGGCAGGGCTCTTTGACATGTTCATGGTGTTCGCTATAACCTGCAATGTCATTGGAGGGAGGGCCATTGGTGTCTCCTGAGTAGTGGGAGCTATATTGCAATATTATTAATACATACTCATTTTACAGTATTATTATTTTGTATTATTACATACTCATTTTACAGTATTATTATTTTATATTATTACATAATCATTATGACAGTATTATTATAGTATTGTTATCTTTATTACAATATAATTACATAATCATTATGGTATTATTTTGCATTATTATGACGTAATTATTGCAGCATTATTATTACAGCACTATAATTTTTATGACAATATTATTATTACATAATAATTATTATAGTATTATTATTACAGTATTCTTTTTATCACGATATTATTATTACATAATAATTATTGCAGTATTATAACATTATTATTTTCTTTCATTACAATATTATTAATACATACTCATTTTACAGTATTATTATTACAGTTTTATTTTAGTGCTGTTATTTTTATTACAATATTATTATATGATTATTACATCATCATTATAGAATTATTTTGTATTATTACATAATTATTACATAATTACAGTATTATTATGTATTATTTCAAGATTATTTCATAATTCTTGCAGCATTATTGTTACAGTATTGTTTTTATGACATTATTACATAATATTTATTATGTAATAAATATTACACTATTTTTATTACAATATAATATAAATATTATTTATAATATACTAGCCTTCCCCTGCCACACGTTGCTGTGGCCCACATGGGGGTTCTGTGTGGGAGGTTTGGCTCATTTCTATCATTGGTGGGGTTCAGAATGCTCTTTGATTGTAGGTGAACTATAAATCCCAGCAACTACAACTCCCAAATGTCAAGATTCTAATTTCCCCAAACTCCGCCAGTGTTCACATTTGGGCATATTGAGTATTCGTGTAGAGTTTGATCCAGATCCATCATTGTTTTTAGTCCACAGCCATCTTTGGATGTAGGTGAACTACAACTCCAAAACCAAAGGGCACTGCCCACCAAACCCTTCCAGTATTTTCTGTTGGTCATGGGAGAACTATGTACCAAGTTTGGTTCAATTCCATTGTTGGTGGGGTTCAGAATGCTCTTTGATTGTAGGTGAACTATAAATCCCAGCAACTACAACTCTCAAATGACAAAATTAATTTTTTTGAGTGAAGGACATACATTGGGTTGTTAGGTGTCTTGTGTCCAAATTTAGTGCCAATTGCCCCAGTGGTTTTTGAGTTCTGTGAATAGCACAAACGAACATTACATTTTTATTTATATAGATAGTATTATTGTTACAGTATTTTTATTACAATACAATATGCAAAAGGTCACGAAGAGTTGGAAGTGACTGAACGAATAAACAACATAATAATAATATAATTATTACATAATTATTATTTGCTATTATTGTTTATATGATGATTATTACAGGATTCTTTTTCATTCCAATATTATTATTATTACATTATTATTATTCGTTATTATTATTTTTTATATGATGATTATTACAGGATTCTTTTTTATTACAATATTGTTACATAATTATTATTATTGTATTGTCGAAGGCTTTCATGGCTGGAATCACTAGGTTCTATTGGTTTTTTTGGGCTATAGGGCCATGTTCTAGAGGCATTTCTCCTGACGTTTCGCCTGCATCTATGGCAAGCATCCTCAGAGGTAGTGAGGTCTGTTGGAGGGATATTTATATGGCTTTCCGGTGACTTTTTCCTCTTCTTCTTTTCCAGCTGGCAGCTTTAAGCGGAAGGCTTGCATTGGCGGTGGGGATTATCGGCTGCGGGATAATCGCAAGGGGCCCCTCTTGGGCTCTGATGGGCTTCAGACGGAGGCCCTTCCGGCCGGAGAAGAAGGGGCGTTACTGGTAAGTAGACCCCAAAATGACCCTAAAAACAACAAGAGTGTCTCCTGATTCTAGCCACACGACAAGCCCTCAAGTCGTCCATCTCCTTCTCCTGTGAGCATGGAGAGAGGCATGATGTCTCCAGACAGATGTAAGCCAAAGTAGTTTGTGTTCTATTTTAGAGAAGAGGGAGAAACCAAATAGCCTATCCCTTTGAGACTATGGACAGGATATACCAGAGAGACACAGGATCTGGATTTAAACACTTTGCATGTGACTTTTATTCAGCATTTAAAATCATACCTTGTCAAGTGGATCCATTCACACATATTTGCCATGCTCACCAAGCTTCTCACAAAGAATCGCAGAAGCGACAGGTGCGGATGCAGTTCTACATCCAATGACAACATTACATCTGAAAGACCCTTTTGATATCATTTTGTGTGGTTTACATCTTCCACATTCCTTGTTCCATTACAATAACAAACTGTTCTTTTCATGTAATACCAAAAGCTTGACCGAATATAAATAGCATATGAATATTAATAATAGTACCAATAATAGTAGGAGCTGCCAGCGGGTTAAACTGCTGATCTTGCTGACTGGAAGGTTGGCAGTTTGAATCCACGACTGGGTGAGCTCCTGTAGTTAGCCCCAGATTCTGCCAACCTAGCATTTCGAAAACATGCAGGTGTGAGTAGATCAATAGGAACCACTCCAGCGGGAAGGTAACCACACTCCATGTGGTCATGGCGGTCACATGACCTTGAAGGTATCTACGGACAACGCTTAGAAATGGAAATGAGCACCACCAGGCCCACTCGGAGATGACTAGACTAAATATCAAGGGGAGACTTTTACCTTTACTTTACCAATATTGTATAATATAAACACGAATCAAGGAACATGAAAGGCACTGCAGACTACTTCAACCAGAGAAGTCAGCCATAGCAGAGCACCTGATGAACCAGCCTGGACACAGCATATTATTTGAGAACACAGAAATGCTGGACCCCTCCAACAACCACCATGTCAGACTACACAGAGAAGCCATTGAAATCCACAAGCATGTGGACAATTTCAACAGAAAGGAAGAGACCATGAAAATGAACAAAATCTGGCTACCAGTATTGAAAAACTCTAAAATTACAACAGCAAAACAGCAGAGAGGAAACAACCAGGCACATCTTAACACCTCTCAACAAAAGATTTTCCCAGGCTCAGCCAGGCCTTCAAATGCTAATGAAGGTGGTCAGTTGAAACATTCACACCTAGCTCCAGCATAGAAGAGCTCTTTGCCCCACCCAGCCATTCCACAGATATATAAACCCATTGTCCTAATTCCAACAGACCTCACTACCTCTGAGGATGCTTGCCATAGATGCAGGCGAAACGTCAGGAGAAATGCCTCTAGAACATGGCCCTATAGCCCGAAAAAACCCACAAGAACCTAATATTATATTATTAATTTACCAATATTATTAATAATATTAATAATAATATTATTTTACAGTTCAGTATGTTGGTTGTGTGTTGCAATATGTCCATATAAATAATAATAATACATTTATCAATATCATTAATAATGTATTAATATTATTGTCATTAATATTTACAGTCCAGTACATCTGGCATGTGTTGCAATATGTGTAAATGACAATAATAATATTAATAATAATGTTATCATTAATAATAATAATGTTTGTTGTGTGTTGCAATACAATAATAATAATAATAATTTATAAATGTCATTAATAATGTATTAATGTTATTAATAATTACATTTTATAGTCCACTATGTCCAGCATCACACATCTAAATAATCATAATAATTTTATCATTATTAATAATATTCATATTATTTTACAATTCACTATGTCTGACATGTGTTGCAGTATATCCATGTAATAATAATAATACATTTATTATTAATAATAATATATTAATATAATTAATTAATATAATTTTACAATTCCAATAATAATAATTTTATCATTATTAATACAATATTAATATAATTTTACAGTTCAGCATGTCCGGCATGTGTTGCAATACATCCATATCATATAATATAATCATACGTTTATCATTTATATATTAATATTATTTTATAATTCATTTGTTGTGTTTTACAATACATTTTAATAATAATAATAATTTTATCATATTAATATTATTTTACAGTCCAATACGTCTGGTCTGTGTTGCAATATGTCCAATGGATATTAATAATAATATTTATTATTTTACAATTCAGTACCTCCATCATGTGTTGCAATACGTCCTAATAATAATAATATTTTTATCTTTAAAGATATATTAATATTGTTTTGCAATTCAGTATGTCCAGTGTGTGCTGCAATATGTCCATATAATATTAATAATAGTAGTAGTAGAATAATAATAATAATAATAGTAATAAATTTTATTTTACAATTCAATACATCCGGCACATGTTGCAATATGTCCATATGCTTATAACTGCTGGACTTGTGTCTTCTTGCAGGGCGATGCTTTAAGGCCGGAGCCCAGCCGTTTGTATCTGCGCTTGGAGACTGAGATGGAGGTACGAATGGGGCAGGAGGGAGGCTTTCTCCAGCACCTTTTGGGGGTGGAAGAGCCATGAAATGGACTTTGCATTACCATGGGGGTCCCTTGATGGATGGGAGATCCTTTGGAAAAACCCCATTTGACCCTTTTTCTCTCTGTAGCTCCTCCAGAAGGTCCAGACGCTGGCCCAGCTCCTGCTCAGCCTCCAGGTAAATAAAGCTTAGACTTCACTGCCATTGAAATGGCTTGGCTTTCAAAACTTTAGGCCTGATTTGCTGCATCTTTCTTTGTGTTTTATTTTATTATATTGTTCCCATATATTATTACATTATATATATCATATCTTATAGTATATCATATACATTTTATTATATTATTACCATACTACATTATATTATGTCATATTTTATTATTATTATTATTATTATTGTATTATATCATATATCAGCCTGCGGAACGACCTCCTGAAAGAGATTTGACAGCGAAATAAAATAGTCATTGTCCCCTTCTCACATACTCATTTATCCCTTTTCGTTCCTACCGGATGCATTCCTCCTCATTATTATTACATTACTTTAGCCATGTTGTGCCATAGGTGTGGATGCCATAGGCCAGATCTCAGGTCCCAACGGTGCTGAGCAATGTGCCTTCCTCCCTTATTATTATTATTATTATTATTATTATTATTACTATTATTATTACTTTAGCCTTGATGTGCCATAGGCCAGATCTTGGATCTGTGTCCCTCCAAATCTGCTGAGCAATGTGCCTTCCTCCCTTATTATTATTATTATTATTATTATTATTATTATTATAAACACAACAAGATGAGTCCACAGCAGACACTCTGCTGGCTGTTGAATTGGATCACACGTCATACACTTCCCAAGTGTTTAGGACTATATGATGTATTGGCAAATGATGCGTGCAGATCCCAGTAAGGTGGCCTTCTGCAGCTGGCAGATGGTAATTTTGTCAGCTCCGATTGTGTTTAAGTGCAGGCCAAGGTCTTTAGGCACTGCACCCAGTGTGCCGATCACCACTGGGACTACCTTTACTGGTTTGTGCCAGTCTTTGCAGTTATTATTATTATTATTATTATTATTATTATTATTATTATTATTACTACTACTTTAGCCTTGCCGTGCCATAGGCCAGATCTTGTGTCTGTATCCCTCCAAATCCGACAGTGTTGCTATCTCACTGTGGTTGTCTCCTCTTTCCCTTATTATTGTTATTATTATTACTATTATTATTACTCTAGACTTGCCGTGCCATAGGCCAGATCTTGAATCTGTGTCCCTCCAAATTTGATGGTGTTGCTATCCCACTGTCGTTGTCTCTTCCACTATTATTATTATTATTACTATTACTATTATTATTACTTTAGCCTTGCCGTGCCATAGCCCAGATCTTGGGTCCTCGTCTCTCCAAATCCGACAGTGCTGCTACCCTGTTGTCATTGTCTCTGTTGAGATTTAGATAGATTGATGTGTAAAGATGGAAACTCACTCTGCTAAGCATGTCATGACCAAACCAGGCATGAAAGGGTTAGGACAAAGGAGTGGACATGCCTAGACTGAGAGGTTGTACTTTTCAGGGAAAAGTAATGCATGTAACCTCCATAGGCTGTCTTCAAATAATGAGTGATAAGCAGAGTATAAATGTCCGAGACGCCATGATTATTCCTCTTTTTAGTGACTGACCATGCTGACAAGTGAGTTTGCATTTGGATATAGTTTGGGAAATGTAAATAAAGTGAAAAGCCATTTTGAGTGAGCAGAAATTAGGCTGCTGAGTTCTAGGAAGGGAAAGCACTTCAGCATCTACGTGTGTCCTGGTCATAGAAAAGGGAATCAAGAGAAAACTTTAAACCACACAAGGGTTATGGGCCCAGCATGCTTCCGCTGCGCCTTGTGTGGTTTAAAGTTTACATTGGGAAGCAAGGCATCCACCAGTCTTCTCCCGATTCCCTTTTTCTCCCCTTTTTCCTTTGCAAGACATTCTTTTCAACTATCCTCTATATTATTAAACCTTTCATGCAGTTGATGGTAATGAAACCAATAATTAATGCCTACATCCTTTCTCCCTCTTAGTTCCCATTGGTCTTTTTCTTTAGTTAAATACTCTCTATAGGTTATGATTTTTTCCCTTGATTTAAAAAGAATGCGGGGGTTGGCACTGCAATATGAAAATCAGAATTAGAAAGCATATTGGAGAAAGCATATTGTTTAAGGAGCTCCATTGGCTGCCGTTCATTTTCCGGTCCCAATTCAAGGTGCAGGTGCTTACCTACAAAGCCCTAAGCGGTTTGGGACCCACCTACCTGCGTGACCGCATCTCCGTATATGAACCCACACGATCTCCGATCATCTGGAGAGGCCCTGCTCACGATCCCATCTGCGTCGCAAGTGCAATTCGTGGGGACGAGGGACAGGGCCTTCTCCGTGGTGGCCCCCCTTCTCTGGAACTCTCTCCCTAAGAACATCAGACAAGCCCCAACATTGGCAGTCTTTAGGAAGAGCTTGAAGACGTGGCTGTTCCAGTGTGCCTTCCCAGAATAGGAAACTCCAAGCATCATGTCCCAAATGCACTTTACTAGAGATTTAAGATTGTATGCACACCGCACCTATCTCCAAAAACCTGTTTATTGCTATTGTTTTAATGTTTATTGCTTGTTTTATGAGTTTTATTTATTGTTGTATTTGTTATGCTGTTGTTTTATTGATGTGTTGGGCCTCGGCCTCTTGTAAGCAGCACCGAGTCCTTCGGGAGATTTTAGCGGGGTATAAATAAAGGATTATTATTGTTATTATTATTATTAAAGGGAGTAAAGGAATAATTTCTAGGCTCTTCAAATATATACTAGACTATAATCTAGAAGATAATAGAGTAAAATCAACAATGATTACATGGGCCAAGGATTTAGGGAGAGTTATATATATTCTTATATCATGTTAAGGTCTTTTCCTGTCGCAGGGCGTGCTGTCGCAGCAGGAGAGCTGCTTAATGCTGCAGCGTGGGGTGCTGCTGGACCGGGAGAAGCAGCTAAGCCTGCAGTCGACCCGTGGAAGCCTCTTGCTGGAGCAGGAGCGGCGGCGCAACTTCGAAAAGCAGCGGGAGGAGCTGGCCGGGGTGCAGAAGCTGCAGGCGCAGCTGAAAGCTGAGCAGCAGCGTTGGGAGCGGGAACGGGAGCGGAAGCAGCGCCAGGACGAGGCAGATGAGGCCCGGCTGCGGCTGCGGGAGGAGGAGGCTCGCCGGGTGGCACAGCGCCTACAGGACGAGCAGCGGGAGCTGCAGCACCAGCGCGAGGCCTACCAGCGTGACCTGGAGCGCCTGCGCGAGGCACAGCGGGCTGTGGAGAAGGAGCAGGAACGTCTGCAGCACCTCCGCCGGGCTAAGAAGCCACCACACGTCGGCACCAATGCCAGCTCCCCCCTCGAGAGTGGGCAGGTGAGGGGCCTCTGCTGGGGGAGCTCTGGTTGTGCTTTTCTTGCATGGCGAAATAAAGGGGGTTGGACTGGATGACCTTTAGAGGTCCCTTCCAACTCTTGGATTCTAATAATAATAGGTTGGACTGGATGTTCCTTGGGGATCTCTTTCAGTCCTCTTCAGGTGAAATAAAGTCATGTATAAATAAATTTATTATTATTAATGATGATGATGATGATGATAATAATAATAATAATAATAATAATAATAATAATAGATTGGACTGGATGTCCCCTGGGGGTCACTTCCAACTTTAGCATGTTGTTGTTGTTGTTGATGATGATGATGATGATGATAATAATAATAATAATAATAATAGGTTGGACTGGATGTCTCCTGGGGGTGTTTTCCAACTCTAGCATATTATTGTTGTTGTTATTATTATTGATCATAATTAAACTATAATACTGAACATCCCCTGGGGGTCTCTTCCAACGCTGGGATAATAATAATAATAATAATAATAATAATAATAATWATWATTATTATTATTATTATTATTATAGGTTGTACTGGATGTCCCCTGAGGGTCTCTTCCAACTCGAGGAGTCTGTTGGTCAGCAGTCCTGCTGGCACAAGGTTTTAACCTGTTGTGCCACCAGGGGCTCCAATAATAATAATAATAATAATAGGTTGGACTTGGGGGTCTCTTCCAACTCAATAATAATAATAATAATAATAATAATAATAATAATAATGTTTCTAGCCTTTTAGATTTCAACGTACAACACTTTTATGAGACTGTAACCCTCTCTTCTTATGCTGGTCTGTGGGCATAAAGATTTGTTTGTTTGTTAGGTTGGTCCGGATGGCCTCTGGGGGGTCTCTTCCAACTCTAGGAGTCTATTATTATTATTATTATTATTATTATTATTATTATTATTGATATATTTTTTGTCGTGTCAGGAGTGACTTGAGAAACTGCAAGTCACTTCTGATGTGAGAGAATTGGCCGTCTACAAGGACGTTGCCCAGGGACACCCGGATGATTTGATGTTTTTATCATCCTTGTGGGAGGCTTCTCTCATGTCCCTGCATGAGGAGCTGGAGTTGATAGAGGGAGCTAATCCGCCTCTCCCTGGATTTGAACCTGCGACCTGTCGGTCTTCAGTCCTGCCGGCACAGGGGTTTAACCCACTGCACCACCGGGGGCTCCATTGATAATTATAATGATAATAATAATAATGGGTTGGACTACATGTCTCTTGTGGATTTCTTTAAACTCTAGCATTTTATTGTTATTGTTCTCCCTTGCAGGACTTGAGCCATTCGTTCAGCTTCAACGGCGAGGGTCCAGAAGGGAGGCCGGGGGGTAGGACAAGCCTCTTGGGGCCAGAGCCACCGGAGCGGTGCGAACCCGGCCGCCGGGAGAGCCTTGGGGCAGATGCAGGGGGGGTGACGGTGCGCCCCTTGCCACTGCTGCCAGGGGCCCTGAAGAACGAGGTGCCGCTCCACCTGCTCAGTGCCACCAACCAGATCCAGAAGCAGGCCGCCGTCCAGCAGCAGATCCCCACCAAGCTGGCCACCTTCACCAAGAGCAGCAGCAGCAAAGGGCCCCGGGGTCCTTCCCACCGCACAGACAGCAGTGGTGAGCACCCCACCTCTCTCTTTCAACATCATTTGAATTAAGCGCACCACAGCTATCCAAACTGTTTCACCTTTAGAGGCTTGCGTCATTTCGCAACATGGTTGTCCTGTCTTACACGCAAACCATAGGTTCTATATTATTATTATTATTATTATTATTATTATTATTATTATTATTATTATGTTCTGAGCCATGCTCCCTTTGAGTTGTATGGAGTCTCCTATATTCTTCTTCTTCTTCTTCTTCTTCTTCTTCTTCTTCTTATTATTATTATTATTATTATCATCATCATCATTATTATTCTGTTTGAATTCTAGAGTTGGAAGAGACCTCCAAGGGCCATCCAGTCCAATCCTTTAGATCAGGAGTCCTCAAACTAAGGCCCGAGGGCCGAATACGACCCTCCAAGGTCATTTACCCGGCCCTCACTCAGGGTCAACCTAAGTCCGAAACGACTTAAAAGCACACAAAAACAACAACAATCTTATCTCATCAGCCAAAAGCAGGCCCACACTTCCCATTGAAATACTAATAAGTTTATATTTGTTAAAATTGTTCTTCATTTTAATTCTTGCATTCTTTTAAGTGTTTTTGCACTACATATAAGATAATTGCAGTGTGCATAGGAATTCATTTATTTCTTTTCAAATTATAATCTGGCCCTCCAACAGTTTGAGGGACTGTGACTTGGCCCTCTGTTTAAAAAGTTTGAGGACCCCTGCTCTAGATAGATAGATAGATAGATAGATAGATAGATAGATAGATAGATAGAATCCTAGAGTTGAAAGAGATAGATACACAGATAGAAAGATAAAATCCTAGAGATAGATAGATTCCAATTTGGGAGAGAGAGAGAAAGAGAGAGAATCCAAGTTGTTAGAGAGAGTGTGTATGAGAGAGATGGATAATCCTAGAGCTGGATGGAATAGATCAATAGATAAATCCATCTAGTCTGTCTATCTCTTTGTTTATCTCTTCCAGCTCCTAAAGTCTCCTATAGTTAGAATAAATAGATAAATAGATAGAATCCTAGTTGAAAGGGATGGCCACGGTGGTCCATGCTCTTGTTACATCCCGTTTAGACTACTGCAACGCTCTCTACATGGGGTTGCCTCTGAAGACTGCCCGGAAGCTTCAATCAGTCCAACGAGCAGCAGCCAGACTGCTAACGGAAGCGGGGTACAGGGAGCATACGACTCCTCTGTTACACCAGCTCCACTGGCTGCCAATTAGCTTCCGAGCACAATTCAAAGTGCTGGTTTTGACCTATAAAGCCCTAAACGACTCCGGCCCAATTTACCTGTCCGAACGGATTCTCCCCTATGAACCATCAAGGTTATTAAGATCTTCCGGAGGGGCCCTGCTCTCGATCCCACCACCTTCGCAATGGGGGGGACGAGGGACAGGGCCTTCTCGGTGGTGGCTCCCCAGCTCTGGAACTCCCTTCCACTAGAGATTAGATCTGCCCCTTCCCTCCTGTCGTTTAGAAAGCTACTAAAAACCTGGCTTTGGAATAAGGCATTTGATGATTGAGTCAATAACCTTTGTGCACATGGAAGGATGGTGATGAATTGTAACTGTATTTGACGACTTGGCTTTTGTAATGTGATGATGTTTTTATTGTATTTTTCGGTTTTTAATGTTTAATGATGATGTATTGTACTGTCTATATTACTGTATTTGAGTACATGCTGTAAACCAGCCTGAGTCCCTCTCCGGAGGTCGAGAAGACCGGTATATAAAACGTCTAAATAAATAAATATTAAATAAATAAGGGATGGAGAGACAGGAAGTTAAATAGATAAATAGAATCCAAGTTGGAAGAGATAGATAGATAATCCTAGAGCTGGAGGGAATCGATAGACTCCTAGAGTAGGAAGAGACCTCCAAGAGCTGTCTAGTCCAGTGTTTCTCAACCTGGGGGTTGGGACCCCTGGAGGGGTAGCTAGGGGGTGTCAGAAGGGTCACCAAAGACCAGCAGAAAACACAGTATTGTCTGTTGGTCATGTGGGGTTCTGTGTGGGAAGCTTGGACCAATTCTATCATTGGTGGGGTTCAGAACATTCTTTGATTGTGAGTGAACTATAAATCCCAGCAACTACAATTCCTAAATGTGAGGGTCTATTTTCCCCAAACTCCACCACTGTTCACATTTGGGCATTTTGCGTATTCATGCCAAGTTTGGTCCATCATTGTTTGAGTCCACAGTGCTCTCTGGATGTAGGTGAACTATAACTCCCAAACTCAAGGTAAATGCCAAATAATCCTTCCATTATTTTCTGTGTGCCATGTTTGGTTCAATTCCATCGTTGGTGGAGTTCAGATTGCTCTTTGATTGTAGGTGAGCTATAAATCCCAACAACTGCAACTCCCAAAGGACAAAATCAAACCCCCTCAACCCCATCAGTACTCAAATTTGAGCGTATTTGTGCCAAATTTGGTCCAGCGAATGAAAATATATCCTGCATATCAGTTATTTACATTACAATTCACAACACAAGCAAACTTACAGTTGTGAAGTAGCAACAAAAATAATTTTATGGCTTGGGGGTCACCACAACATGAGGAACTGTATTAAGGGGTCTCGGCATTAGGAAGGTTGAGAACCACTGGTCTAGTCCAACCCCCTTCTGCCGATCCCAGATGGCCACCCTGCCTCTGTTGAAAGGTGTGTTGTTTCTTTCCGCCTTGCAGCCTCGGTTGACATGCGGCATCTCCTCTCTGCACGACCGGCTGGACGGGAAGAGTCCCTCTCACGGAGCCGCCTCTCGGCCGCCAGCCCAGTTTTCCCTGCGGGTAAGTCAGATGGAGGGGCTTCTGTGGGGCGGAGGGGCCTCTAGTACTGGCACCCAGTAGCCTTTCTTTCTTCTCTCCTCCTTCCCCACAGACCCGCCAGGCGCCTCCGAGAGTGGCCATCTTGCGACACCTCCTCCCATGGCCCTCCTCTTCAAGCCCCAAGGTGCCCACACCCTCCCGCCCGCACCGGACGATCCCGGCAAAGAGGATGTCATTTTTTTCTGACTTGGAAAAAAGTTTGGAAGGCATTCCTATTGCATCGGACGTTTTCACACCCGAGGATATGAGGTTCTTTTGTCTGGGCAAAACAAGAGGCAGCCGGGCAGACAGAGGGGTTTCTGTGGGACGTCCTATACACAGCCATGCCTCTGGAAGAGATTTCAGTTTTCAATCCTCCTGTCCCCCTTTCTATTGTATCAGATGTTCGTGCCTTGTTCGCGATACAAGGTTCTTTTGCCTGTGCGAAATGAGAGGCAGACAGTGGAGACGCCACAGGACGTCTTATTCGCAGCCATGCCTTTGAGAGAGATTCCAGTTTTCAATCCACTTCTTCCCCTTCCTATTGCATCAGATGTTCGTGCCTGAAGATATGAGGTTCTTTTGTCTGTGCAAAACTAGAAGTGGCCGAGCGAAGAGGCTCCGCAGATATACTATTCCCAGCCATGCCTTCAGAAGAGATTCCGGTTTTCGATCCTCTCCTTCCCCTTCCTATTGCATCAGATGTTTGTGCCCAAGGATCTGATATTCTTTTCTCCTTGCAAATCGAGAGGTGGCTGGACAGACGGAGGAGGCTCTGTGGGATGTCCTATTCCCAGCCATGCCTTCGGGAGAGATTCCGATTTTCAATCCTCTCCTTCCCTTTCCTATTGGATCAGATGTTCATGCCGAAGGATCCGAGATTCTTTTCTCTTTGCGAAATGAGAGGTGGCCGTGCAGACGGAGGAGGCTCCGTGGGATGCCTGTTTTCACAGCCATGTCTTTGGGAGAGATTTTAGCACCCTGACAAGGCCAGATACGTTCTCTGTAGCAACTCCTTTTCATTTCCGCCAAAGGAAAAAACTCACCTTCCAGGTCTCAAACATGTTGACGCGGAGCGATACGGCTTTGGAAAATGGGAGGGGACGATGGGGCTAAAATGGGCCACAAAGGGAACAGAGGAGTCTAGCTTGGCTTCTTCTCTTCTGAGACATCTCTCTCTTTCTTTGTTCTGTGTTCTTCCAACATTGCTGAGCTTGTTGCCGGTATTTTGGGATACGGAAAAAAATGGTTTCCCCCTTTCTTCGACCTCCACGTCGTTGCCTTTCAGAAGGGATCATTCACAAGGGACGTTCCCTAGTTTCCGGGGCTGAAGGTAGACTCCCATCTTTCGTTCTGTCGTTGCCTCCAACTTGAGATAAAATTCCACCGTGCACTTGGGAACCCGCAAAAGGTGCAACGTGGGCTTCGTAAAGACTTCTCCTTTTTGGGGATCCAGTGCTATCTTGCTTTGCAAAGAACTGTAGGGAGAGGAAGGAATTTCCTCATCAAGGACATTTTGGGGGTCCCGATACGGTCGGGAATGTGGACGCTCGTTGTCATTTAGGGACAAAGCTTTTAGGAGGGAAAGAAGCATTTTGGTGGGAAATCTCTCCCAGGAAGAAGAAGAAACAGCCTGTGTCTTAATAACAAAAACAGTAACAGTAAACCTAATCATAGTTCCCTTTTTCCTCCTGCCATTTTCCGGCTGCATCCGGATCACTTTGTGCCATATTCTCAGTGTCTTTATGTATGTGTGTGTGTATATATCTATATATATGTATATTTTGGTACGGAAAAGAAATCAGAGCACTTTAGAACAATGACGGTCTGCCATCAAAGTTCCCCATTCGCCAAGACTTGATTCACGAGCATCCACTGCCTATGACAACTTTGGTGGTGGTTGCATTGTTATTATTTCCAAGATGGACACCCCTCCCCTCAATTTACCATGTAAACACCTCTAACCAATGGGGGTGTGCCTTAGGATCTTCTCTAAATAAAGCTTTTTTTCCTTTTCTCTGGGTGAGTCTCGCCATTGATGGTGTTCGAGAAGCCAATAATATGGTATTATTATCTTATCTACATGTATAGATCGTAGTGGGAAGCAACAGATTTAATTCTTTTTTGACGTCTGTATGCGCCCATTGCCACATTATAGCTGTATATTTGTATGTGCGCATTGGTATGTTGGCATGTTGGACCTGTACGTCCTTATGTGCGCATTGAGAGATAGGTAGGTAGATGAAAGAGAGATGATAGATGGATGGATGGATGGATGGATGGATGGATGGATGGATGGATGGATGGATGAGAGAGAGATGATGGATAAATGATAGATAGGTAAATGAGAGAGAGATATGATGATAGATACATAAAGGTAGATAGACAGACAGACAGACAGACAGATGGTTGACACATATAGATAAATGACAGACAGATGAGAGAGATGATAAAGATAGATGATGGATAGGTAATTAGAGAGAGAAATAATATAAATAGATGAGAGATGATAGATAAAGATGGATGATAGACAGGTAGATAAGAGAAAAATAATAGATAAATGGTAGATGAGAGGTAGGTAGAGAAGAGAGATGATAAAGACAGAGGGGAGAGATGGATGATAGTTGAGAGATGAGAGAGAGCTGATATAGATAGATGATCAATGAGAAAGAATTATAAAGATATAGGTAGATGAGAGATAGATAGGTGATAGATGGATGATAGATGAGGGATAGGTAGATGAGAGAGACAATACATAGATGTAGATTGATGATAGATAGATGAGAGGTAGATAAAAGAGAAATAGATAGATGGATGATAGATGAGAGATAGGTAGATGAAAGAGAAATTATGGATGATGAGGTAGATGAGTGAAAGATGATAAAGATAGATAGATGATAGATTAGAGAGAGAAATGATATAAATGGATGATAGATGAAAATGATAGAGATAGGTAGATGAGAGATGATGGATGTTAGTTGGGATGATAGATGAGTGAGAGATGAGAACGATAGATGAGAGATAGAAGAGAGAGATTATATAGATGGATGATAAATGAGAGAAACATGATAAAGATAGATGAGAGATAGGTAGATGAGATTATGAAGATGGATGATAGATGAGAGATACAGATAGGTAATAGATGGATGACAGATAGATGAGAGATAAATGATAGATGAGAAATAGGTAGATGAGAGGAACGATACATAGATAAGGACAGATGAAAGATAGGTTGCTGAAATAGAAATGACATGGATGTTAGTTGCATGATAGATGAGGTAAATGAGTGAGACTGATAAAGATAGCAATAGATAGGTGATATATGATGGATGGATGGTAGATGAGAGAGGTGATAGATGAAGATGGATGGATGATAGATGAGAGAGATGGATGATAGGTAGATGAGAGAGATGATATAGATAGATGAGAGATAAGTAGATGAGAGAAATATAAATGGATGACAGCTTGGTGAGAATGATAAAGATAGAGATAGGTAGATGAGAGAGATGATAGGTAGATGTTAGATAGTCAGATGATAGATAAGAGGTAGATGAGTGAGATGATATAGATGGATGATAGATGAGAGAGAAGACAGAGATAGATAGATTATAGAAAGAAATAATAGATTAATGGTAGATGAGAGAGATGATATAGATGATAGATAGGTGAGAGAGATGAATGATAACTGAGGGATATGTAGATGAGTTAGAGGGATGATATAGATCAGGGGTCCTCAAACTTTTTAAACAGAGGGCCTGGTCACAGTCCCTCAAACTGATGGAGGGCCGGATTATAATTTGGAAAAAAATGAAAATTCCTATGCACACTGCACATATCTTATATGTAATGCAAAAAACACTTAAAACAATACAATAATTAAAATGAAGAACATTTTAAACAAATATAAACTTATTAGTATTTCAGTGGGAAGTGTGGGCCCGCTTTTGGCTGATGAGATAGGATTGTTGTTGCTGTCGTGTGCTTTCAAGTCATTTCAGACTTAGGTTGACCCTGAGCGAGGGCCGGGTAAATGACCTTGGAGGGCCGTATCGGGCCCCCGGGCCTTAGTTTGGAGACCCCTGATATAGATGGATGATAGATCAATGTGAGGGAATGATATAGATGGATGGATCGAGATAGATAGATAGATAGATAGATAGATAGATAGATAGATAGATAGATAGATATAGATGAGAGATGATAGATAGTTGGATGATACATGAGAGAGAGATAAAGATAGATGGGTGATAGATGGATAACAGGTAGATGAGAGAGAAATGATAAATGATAGATGAAAGGTAGATGAGAGACGATACATAAAGACGGATGGATGATAGATGAGAAAGATAAAGATAGATGGGTGATAGATGGATAATAGGTAGATGAATGATAGATAATTGGATGATAGATGAGGTAGATGAGTGAGAGATGATGAAGATAGATGAGAGATTGGTTAGACCACACCTGGAATATTGTGTCCAATTCTGGGCACCACAATTCAAGAGAGATCTTGACAAGCTGGAATGTGTCCAGAGGAGGGCGACTAAAATGATCAAGGGTCTGGAGAACAAGCCCTATGAGGAGCGGCTTAAGGAGCTGGGCATATTTAGCCTGAAGAAGAGAAGGCTGAGAGGAGATATGATAGCCATGTATAAATATGTGAGAGGAAGCCACAGGGAGGAGGGAGCAAGCTTGTTTTCTGCTTCCTTGTAGACTAGGACGCGGAACAATGGCTTCAAACTACAAGAGAGGAGATTCCATCTGAACATGAGGAAGAACTTCCTGACTGTGAGAGCCGTTCAGCAGTGGAACTCTCTGCCCCAGAGTGTGGTGGAGGCTCCTTCTTTGGAAGCTTTTAAACAGAGGCTGGATGGCCATCTGTCAGGGGTGATTTGAATGCAATATTCCTGCTTCTTGGCAGAATGGGGTTGGACTGAATGGCCCATGAAGTCTCTTCCAACTCTTTGATTCTATGATTCTAGGTAGAAGAGAGAGATGATATAGATGGCCAATAGATGAGAAAGAATGATAGAGATAGGTAAACAAGATGATGGATGGTAGACGAGCGGTAGATGGGAGAGAGATAATAGATAAAGATGGATGATAGATAGATGAGAGATGATAAAAATAGATGAGATAAATAGGAGAGAGAGATGATATCAATGGATGATAGATAATGAGAATGATAAAGATATAGGTAGATGAGAGAAATGATAAATGAGAGGTAGATGAGAGAGATGATACATAGATAATGATAGATGAAAGAGAGAAATGATAAAGATATATAGATGGATGCTAAATGAGAGATGTGTGCACGTTGGGGTTGCCATCACCCTAAACAAATACAGCCAAGGGAGACACCAATGTTATTTCTCATATCATTTTCATTCCCCCTGATTGGTACAGATTTACATAGCGAGACATGCGTTTGGCCCCTCTCGATGTCGTCCTCTCGCTCTCCATCAGCGGAGCTGCTCCCTTTCCTGGATGGCCGGCCTGCCTTTCCGGCAGCAGCAACAGCAACAGCAGCAGCACTCAATTACCCTTCATTGGACAGAAATCATTCCTGGATCCTCCTGCCTGTTTCCCGAGCACTTCAGGCCGGCCCTCCTTTGCCGGAGAGGTGGGACAGGTAGATCCCAATGAGGGAGGAGAGGGTGCCCAGAAGGCCCACCAGCCACGCAGGGGACTGCCCAGCCCACAGCACTCCCGGGAGGGGGAGCCAGTGCACTGCGTTGCAGAAGTCCGCCAGGTGGCTGACAATGGTCAGTGCCTCTGCCTGCACCTGCATCCTCGCCTGACGCACGGCCTCCCTGTGAGAGGAGAGAGGGGGATGGATAGATTGAGAGATAGGTTATAGGGATGGATGGATGGATGGATGGATGAGATAGATCGATAGATAGATCGATATGACAGAGAAAGATTGATAGATGAGAGCCAGATAAACAGATAGATGAGAGGTAAACATAGAAGAAAGATAAATATAGATAATAAAGGTAAAGGGAAAGGTTTTCCCCTGACATTAAGTCCAGTTGTGTCCAACTCTGGGCGTTGGTGCTCATCTCCATTTCTAAGACGAAGAGCATTGTCCATAGACAGCTCCAAGGCAATGTGACTGGCATGACTGCATGGAACGCCATTACCTTCCCGCCGGAGCAGTACCTATTGATCTACTCACATTTGTATGTTTTCGAACTGCTAGGTTGGCAGAAGCTGCTCCTTGGATTCAAACCTGCGATCTTTCAGTCAACCAGTTCAGCAGCTCAGTGGTTTAACCCACTGCGCCACAGGGGGCTCATAGATAGATGAGAGATATAGATGGCTAGATCGATGAGAAATGGAGGATAGATGAGAGATAAACAGATAATGAAAGATGAGAGATAAACATAGATAGATAGATAGATAGATAGATAGATAGATAGATAGATAGATAGACAGACAGACAGACAGACATAGATGACAGGTAGATGAGAAATATAGACAGGGAGAAATGATAAAGATTGATAGATGACAGATAGATAAACAGATGAGAGGTAAACAGATGAGAGATGAGATAAACAGATGAGAGAAAAGATAGATGAGAAATAAACAGATAAACATAGATATATAAGAGATAAACATGGATGGATGGATGGACAGACAGACATAGATGAGAGATAAACAGATAGATGACAAGTAGATGAGATAAATAGATAGATAGAAATGATAGATAAAGATCGATAGGTAGATGAAAGATAGATAAACAGATAGATGAGAGGCAAACATAGCTGAGATGTGAGATAAACAGATGAGAGAAAAGATAGATGAGAAATATAGAGATAAACAGACAGAAAGATAGATGAGAGATAAACATGGATGGATGGATGGATGGATGGATGGATGGATGGATGGATGGATGGATGGATGGATGGAGACAGACAGACATATGAGAGATAAACAGATGACAGGTAGATGAGATATAGATAGATAGGGAGAAATGAAAAACGTCGATAGGTAGATGAGATAAATAAACAGATAGATGAGAGGTAAACATAGATGAGAGAAAAGATAGATGAGAAACAGAGACAGGCAGACAGACAGATAGGTAGATAGATGAGAGATAAACATAGATGGATAGAATAGATAGACACTGAAGGTAGATGAGAGATATAGACAGGGAGAAATGATAAAGATTGATAGATGACAGATAAACAGATGAGAGGTAAACAGATGAGAGATGAGATAAACATAGATGAGAGAAAAGATAGATGAGAAATAAACAGAGATAAACATAGATAAGAGATAAGCATAGATGGATGGATGGACGGACGGACGGACAGATAGACAGACAGATGACAGGTAGATGAGAGATATAGATAGATAGGGAGAAATGATAAAGATCGATAGGTAGATGAAAGGTAGATAAACAGATGAGAGGCAAACATAGCTGAGATGTGAGATAAACATAGATGAGAGAAAAGATAGATGAGAAATATAGATAGAGATAAACATAAAACAGACAGACAGACAGATGAGAGATAAACAGATGACAGGTAGATGAGAGATATAGATAGGGAGAAATGATAGATAAACGTCGATAGGTAGATGAGAGATAGATAAACAGATAGATGAGGGGTAAACAAATGAGAGAAAAGATAGATGAGAAATAAACAGGTAGATAGATAGATAGATGAGAGATAAACATAGATAGATGAGAGATAAACATAGATGGATAGAATAGACAGACAGACAGACAGACAGACAGACAGACAGACAGATAGATAGATAGATAGATAGATAGATAGATAGATGAGAGATAGACAGATGAGAGATAAACAGGTAGATGAGAGATATAGATAGGGAGAAATGATAGATAAAAATCGGCAGGTAGATGAGAGATAGATAAACAGATGAGAGGTAAACAGATGAGAGATGAGATAAACATGGATGAGAGAAAAGATAGATGAGAGATGAGAGAAACAGATCAATTAGAGGTGGAGGATAGATGAGAAATAAACATAGACAGACAGACATGAGAGATAAACAGATACAGTAAATAAATAGATGAGAGATAAAGATGGATGGATGGATGGGTGGGTGGATGAGAGATGATAAAGAGACGATAGGTTGCTAGATGATAGATAGATAGGTTGATAGATGATAGGTCAATGAGAGATATATATACATGAAACAGAAAGATGATAGATAAACATAGATGAGAGAAAGAGATGATAGATTGATGATAGATCATAAATGATAGGTAGATGAGAGACAGAAGTGATACATAAAGACAGATGAATGATAGATGGTAGTTAGATGATGGATAGACAGATGATGATTGATTGATTGATAGATAGATAGAATGAAAACCTCCAGCCCCAGAGATGTCGGATGCTGCCACTTACTTGGACTGTTGCTCCTGATTCCTTCTTAGTTGGGATAAGATGCGCAGGGACCTGAAGAGAATAGAAGATTCTCCCTTTTATTGTCATTGTACATCATACAGTGAAATTAAATGCTGTCCCCAATGCACATTAAATATCTGTACACATTACAAAACAAAGTACCCATCCTTCCATATGCTAATCAAAGAACCATGGACTTGGAAGAGACCACATGGGCCATCTAGTCCAACCCGTACTGCACAGCCCCTCATGCCAATATATTGGAAAATTGATAGATAAATGATCAGATAGATGGGTTGGTGGATACATAGGTAGATGATGCAAAAAGACGCAGGCGAATAGAGAGAGGAGAAATGTATTGATGGATGGATGGTGACACAGGTGAAGAGAGAAAGAGAAATGTATTGGTGGATGGATGGATGATGGATGGATAGATAGATAGATAGATAGATAGATAGATAGATAGATAGATGATTGATGACTGGATATATAGGTGGATGGGTGGATTAATAGATACATGGACAGGTAGGTAGGTAGATAGATAGACAGATAGATAGAAGGATGGATAGATACATAGATGGGTGAATGGATAGATCGATCGATCGATAGATGGATTGATAGATACATGGATGGATAGATGGATGGGTGGATGGATGGATAGATGGATGGATGGGTGGACTGATGATACATGGGTGGATAGATAGGTAGGTAGGTAGATAGATAGATAGATAGATAGATAGATAGATAGATAGATAGATAGATAGATACGTGGATGGATAAATAGGTAGATAGATGGAAGGATGGATAGATGGATAGACAGGTGGATGGATGGACTGATAGATACATGGATGGGTAGGTAGGTAGATAGATAGATAGATAGATAGATAGATAGATAGATAGATAGATAGATAGATACGTGGATGGATAAATAGGTAGATAGATGGAAGGATGGATAGATGGATGGATAGACAGGCGGATGGATGGACTGATAGATACATGGATGGGTAGGTAGGTAGGTACGTAGGTAGGTAGGTAGGTAAATGAGAGGTTGCTTACCTGTAACCGTAGTTTCCCTAGTGGTATGCTGTGAATGCGCACTATTGGTATCTCTCTGCGCATGCGCAGCATAGCCCGGAATTCTTCAGTTAAAGATTTAAAAGGATGGCGGTTGGCCCCGCGCACACTCCCCAAGGCACTATAAATAGCCCGCGGAAGGCTAACCGCCTCAGTTCTCTTCGGCCGCAAAACCAGCTCAAAGAGGAGGCATGACAACTGCGGGGAGGATGGGCGGGGCCGTGCGGATTCACAGCATACCACTAGGGAAACTACGGTTACAGGTAAGCAACCTCTCATTTTCCCTGCGTGGCTATGCTGTGAATGCGCACTATTGGTAGCAGACTAGCAAGCTACTCACTGTGGCTGGTGGGCGTCATGCCACCGCAGAAAAAAGCACTGCTCGACCAAAGGAAGCATCCTTCTTCGATGTCAGGTCAAGCTTGTAGTGTGTCACGAAGGTTATGGGTGTCGACCACGTTGCTGCACGGCAGATTACATCTAACGGCACACCCTTCAGGAAAGCCGAAGACGCAGACTGTGCCCTAGTCGAATGTCCTTTTACTCCACGCGGGACCTCCCGTCCCGACCTCTGATACGCCAACCTGATAACAGAAACAATCCAAGCAGACAGGCGTTGTGGTGACACAGGAAGCCCCATAGAGTCTTGGCGGTACTTTATGAATAGTCTTGGTGTTTTTCTTATGTCCTTTGTCCGATCAAGGTAAAAAGCAATAGCCCGGCGAACATCCAACCTATGGAGCCTCCGTTCCAGAGGGGAGGATGGCTCCTGGAAAAAGGCTGGCAACACAATTTCTTGGGACATGTGGAAGTTAGAAGTCACCTTGGGCAAGAAAGAAATGTCCGTTCGAAGCACAACTTTGTCCTTATGAATGCGGAGGTAAGGTGGGTCCGCTCTGAGCGCACACAACTCGCTCACCCGTCTGGCCGATGTGATGGCAACTAGGAACGAAACCTTCCAAGTTAAGTGAGAGATGTTGCATGTAGCCATCGGTTCATATGGAGGACCCTGAAGAGAATCTAGCACTAACTCCAGACTCCAAGAAGGGGCAACAGGGTTGACCGGCGGCCTCATGTTCCCCATCCCCTTCAGGAAAAGCTTGACATAGTAGTCCGTGAAGAGAGATGGGAYTCCATGCTTCCTCCTAAACCATGACACAGCAGCCAGGTAGCACTTCACRGATGACAAGGTGAATCCTGAGTCTGACAGAGAGCCAAGGAACTCCAACACCTCAGAAATCGGTGCTGTAACTGGGTCATTTCCCCTTGATGTCACGAACTCCCTGAAGCGCCTCACCTTGTACGTATAAGAGCGCTTGGTGGATGGCTTATGAGCCGCTTCCAGCACCTCCCTGACTTTCTCAGACACCTGGGCAACTAATCCATGGGTAGTACTCTCCACGCTGTCAACTTTAGTGTGTGGACATCGGGGTAGAGAACTTTGCCGTTCTGTGCTGTTAGGAGATCTGCTTTGCCCGGCAGACGCCTGAACACGCCCCGTGACATCTCTAGAAGTGCCGCAAACCATGGCTGCCGGGGCCACCATGGTGCGACCAGAATGCAGCGACTCTTGTCTCTTCGCAACTTTGTAATCACTTTGAGAAGTAGGGGAAAAGGGGGAAAGGCATACAGGTAATCTCCCGACCACCTTAAGAGGAAGGCATCCCCCAGACAGCCCTGATTGTAATTGGGCCTCTGGCGTGCACAATACTTGGGGCATTTTGCGTTCTCGTGGGACGCAAACAGGTCTATCCTTGGTGTTCCCCACATATTGTAAATGAGATTCAAGGCATCCTGGTTTAGGGACCACTCGTAGATTGTCAGAGGAGACCTGCTGAGCACGTCGGCCAGCACATTCTCCTCCCCTGGCAGGTGAACCGCTATCAGGTAAATGTCCCTGGCCACACACCACTCCCAAATGCGTATTGTCTGGTCTAGTAGTGGTTGAGATCTTGTGCCTCCCTGCTTGTTTATATAGTACATTGTGGTAGTGTTGTCCGTTACCACCTGAACTACCTGGCCCAACAGTGCATTTTCGAAGGATTTCAAGGCCTTCTCCACCGCCATGAGCTCTAATACATTTATGTGGAAACCCGCCTCCTCGGCTGACCATTTCCCCTGGGCTGTTAAGCCCTCTAAATGCGCCCCCCAACCATGCATGGAGGAATCGGTGGTAACGACCCGTGATGGCTCGGGGAGCTGGAAGGGGTGGCCTGCTAGAACATTGGACGGGTCTGTCCACCAACTGAGGGACTGTTTGACCAGCAGCGGCATCTCCAATCTTGCACTGGGCTTGTCCACCCCAGGGCTGTGGACTGACAAGAACCAGGCCTGCAGTGGTCTTAGCCGAAGTCTGGCATACAGCGTGACGGAAGTCATCGAAGCCATATGGCCGAGCAGAGCCTGCACTGTCTTCACCGTCACCCGCTTCGCTTGGATAACTGGAGCTATCATGGATTGCAGGGACGCAAAGCGGTCCTCCGGCAAAAAAGCCCGTTGGTGCTCTGAATCCAGCACTGCCCCGATAAACTGGATTCTGCGACACGGCAGTAGATTTGACTTCTCTGCATTCATAACGAGGCCTAGAGACTGGAGAAGAGAGAGAGTCGTATTGATATGCATTCTCAATCTCTCGCGAGTATTTCCCACCAACAGCCAGTCATCTATATATGGATAGATAGTCACACCCTGGGTTCGCAGGAAGGCAGCAATCACAGCCATACATTTTGTGAATACTCTGGGGGCCGTTGTTAACCCAAAAGGGAGGACGTTAAAGCAGAACGCCCGACTACCAACGATGAAGGAAAGGTACTTCCTGTGGTGTTCCGCCATTGATATGTGGAAATAAGCATCCTTTAAATCAATAGTGGCAAACCAGGCATCTTTATTAAGCAATGGTAGAATCAAAGACAAAGACACCATGCGAAACTTCTGCGAAAAAATAAACTTATTAACTTCCCTCAAATCAAGAATAGGCCGTAGGCCCCCTCCCCGCTTTTTAATCAAAAAATACCTAGAGAAAAAACAATTTGGAAGATCACTAGGGTCAAGCGGGGATATAGCCCCTTTCTCCAACAACTTAGAAACTTCCTCCAGCAGTGGTGGAGATTCCGGGGTGAACTTTAAATTGCCCAACGGGGGCAATGTTACAAACTCCATTGCATAACCTTCACTAACAACACGAAGAACCCACTTATCAGTGGTTATTGAACTCCAAATATGACTAAACGGCCTCAGCCTGTCAAAAAATACAACTGATTGTTGAGGGGGCGTGGCTGACGATGCTCCTGACCTAGACAAAGGTGAGTCCCTCTGAATCTCAGTTACAATGGGAACATCAAAGACGACGCTTTTGATTCCCTCCATTCCTAGCCTTACTGTTATAGGGCTGGTACCTCGCCTTGGCATTGTAGTTCTGCCTCCTATTGGGTTGGAATTTACTGTTTGAATTCTTAAACCCCGTACTACTAGTATAACTACCAAAGTAACCTTTACGGTAAGTYCTTGCTGGCTGTTGCCAACGCTGCCTCTGTTGATATGCAGGCTGCCAAGGGTAATCATACTTGGCRGCCTGTAGAACCTCTCTTGAATGTTTTATTTTTTCGTCTGTAGAGGGGTCAAACAGTCCCTCTTCTGTCATTGGGAGGTCCTCAGCCAAGGAACGGCTGTCCTCCGATAACGAGGAGGCCCTAAGCCAGGCATGACGTCGGATAGCAGTTGCAGTGGCCAGCAGTTTGCCGGCTGATTCCGCCATATGCTTTCCAATGTCCTTCTGGAACTTTGAGAGGGGTATGGCCTCATTCACGAATGCCCGAGGTAACCTTCTCTCCTCTAATGGTAGCTTATCTATATATGGAGCCATCTTCTTCCACAAAAAACTCTGGTAACCACTAAGGTAAGTCACATAGTGTGCAATTCTGGTGAACAATCCCGCCGCTATGTGAACCTTTTTCCCCAATAAGTCTACTTTTCTGCCCTCCTTATCCGGTGGGGAGACCGTATACTTCTTAGGCTTTTTAGACTTAGCCGCCTCCGCCACCACGGTGTTGGGGGCAGAGGGGCGAGCTATCCACTTGGCGGCTGACAAATCTACTTTATAAAGAATGTCCACCCTCCTAGGAATGGCGGGGGCAATAGAAGGGGACATATCAGGGATCTTTGTTAATTTCAACAAATAAGGTAACGTTGGGAGCACAGCAGACATTGGAGTGTCCTGCTCCTCCGAAGGAAACATTGGGTCTTCCACTGCAGCCGATGGCCTCGGGAGTACAATGTCTAAGGCAGTTATCATCCTGCCAATCAATTGCATAAACTTATTATAGTCATCAGAACGGGTCACAGGGTGCTCCATATCCTTTTCCTCCTTTGAAGCCTCATCAGCCTCTTCAGAAGCTTCTGAATCAACAGCATTGTCTATAATGAAAGCCTCGCCTTGAGAGCGCTCCGATATGTCCATATGTCCAGACAGCGTGCCTCTGAGCGGGCGCCTCCATTCCCTGCCAACTGGCATAAGGCGGTGATCTGAAGCCTCTGCTTCTGGTGCAAGGTGCTTACTTTTACCCTGGACCCCAGGAGATGGGTGTACATTCTCCCCAATGAACACTATTCCCCCATTGGGAGTCACTTGATAAAAACCTGCCTGCGGGGGGGGGGTAGTCRGCCCTTCCCCCACGCCCTCTGTAGTGTGATGACTTTGAAGAAGCCACAGAAAAAGCTCTTTCTAATCGAGCGCGTCGACGCTTCCTCACTGAACAGGAGGAATCTGAGCAGGTCGACGCAGAGTCACTGGAGGAGGATCTGTCCCTACGCCTCCCTCTCTCTCTCCTTCGTGAAGGCGCACGAGAGCGGCGCCGAGCTGCCTCATCTGGGGCCCTCCCAGCTGCTGCTGACGTCGACGGGCCGTCTGGGGAAGCCCCGCGMGGCTCCTCCCCCCTCTCGCCTGGGAGGGATGGAGGTGGGGCCGGCGCCGAAAGCATCGGCATCGGGGGCGTYGATTCAGCCTGGTGAAGAGCCTCTTGCGCACGCGCGAGGCGTGGCTTCTCTAATGTCGCCTCCCCTTCTGGCCGCACAGCACGCTCGCGGCGTGGTTGAGACGGCGTCGGCTGGAGCATGACTTCTGCAGAGGCTGGGGGGGCCTCCGTGTCCTTTTCCACCAATTGTGCGAGCCAGGCTTCCCCTGTAGTGAGCCCAGCAGTCTTTTTAATGGTGATGGGCTTCACTTTTTCCACATTTTTAGTCTTCTTAGACTTCTTCAGCGTTTTCAAGGGTAAGTCCTTTCTTGACTTGGGTTGGTCCCCATTTTCTTTAGGAGGGAGGAGAGCTCGCTCATAAAGAGCCGCCTTAAGTCTTATCTCCCTGTTTTTCCGTGTTTGGGGAGTGAAAGACTGGCAAATGGCACAACTCTGTGCCAGATGCCCCTCACCCAAACAAGCAATACATAATGTATGAGCGTCATTGTCAGGGATATTAGAAGGGCAAGCACTACAGCGCTTAAATCCCTTCGTCTGCGACATCCTGACGGCAAACGCTCCCGGTTCCAAGCCTCAGCAAGGAAGTAAAAGGGTAAAAACAGTCCGAGCTGCCTGCGTGAGCGCGGATGAAGAGAACTGAGGCGGTTAGCCTTCCGCGGGCTATTTATAGTGCCTTGGGGAGTGTGCGCGGGGCCAACCGCCATCCTTTTAAATCTTTAACTGAAGAATTCCGGGCTATGCTGCGCATGCGCAGAGAGATACCAATAGTGCGCATTCACAGCATAGCCACGCAGGGAAAACAGACAGATAGAAGGATGGATAGATATATGGATGGATGAATAGATGGAAGGAAGGATGGATAGATAGATAGACGGATGGGTGGATGGATAGATAGACAGACAGATAGATAGATACGTGGATGAATAAATAGGTAGACAGATGGAAGGATGGATAGATGGATTGATAGATACATGGATGGATAGACAGGTGGATGGACGGACAGACAGGTGAGTGGATGGATGAACTGATAGATACATGGATGGATAGGTTAGGTAGATAGATGGAAGGATGAATGGATGGATGGATAGACAGGTGAATGGATGGATGGATGAGAGAGATGAATGAATGGAGAGAGAGAGAGAGATAAGGATCGGTGGATGAAAAAGAGACGAATGCTTAGAGGGATGGAGAGATAGATGATGGACAGAAAGGTAGATTGATAGGTAGGTAAATAAAAGCAGATGAATATATAGGTGGATGGATGGAGAGGTGGACCAATAAGGAGATGACAGAAGAAGACAGAAAGAAATGGGTAGGTAGGTAGGTAGGTAGGTAGGTAGAGAAAGAATAGAATAACTTTACTGTCACTGCACATCGTACCATGAAATTAAATGTGATCCCCAATACACATTATACATATGTGGAATTACAAAACATGCATAGATGGATGATAAATAGACAGATGAGATGGGGGGATAGGTAGACAGACAGATAAATGGATGATAAAGATAGATGGACGAGATAGATGAGAGATGATAAAGATAGATAGATGAGAGCGATGATAGAGAAAGATAGATGAGTGATAGATGAGAGAGAGAGATGATAGATAAAAATGGATGGATGGATGGATGGATGGATGGATGGATGGATGGATGATAGATAGATAGATAGATAGATAGATAGATAGATAGATAGATAGATAGATAGATAGATAGATAGATAGATAGATAGAGATAGATAGATAGATAGATGAGAGAGAGAGGTAGACTGTGGCGCTGGCTGGGTGTCAGCTGCATTAAGATCACTACTGACCGAAAGGTCATGAGTTCGAAGCCAGCCCGGGTCGGAGTGAGCTTCCGGCCAATTTGTGTAGCTTGTTGTTGACCTTTGCAACCCGAAAGACAGTTGGATCTGTCAAGTAGGAAATTTAGGTACCACCTATGTGTGGAGAGGCTAATTTAACAAATTTACGAAGCCATAAAAAATCTCCAGCAAAAGCATGCAGGGAATGTGGAAAGTACTTCATCAGTGTCGCAGATGGATGGTGAAGCGACAGCTCCCCTGGCGGCCAGAAAATTGGAATGTTAAATAGCCTCTGACTGACTGTCTATATATGTTGTGTGTCTATGGCATTGAATGTTTGCCATGTATGTGTACATTGTAATCCGCTGTGAGTCCCCTGCGGGGTGAGAAGGGCAGAATATAAATACTGTAAATAAATAAACAAACAAATAAATAAATGACATTATTATATATTTAGAGAGACTAGAATAACTTTATTGTCCTTGTACATCATGTAATAAAATGCAATGCCTTCCCAAATGCACATTATTATATATGCAGAATTACAAAACACTCACAGATGGGTATTTATCTATCGTGTCAGAAGTGAACCAAGGGTACGGTTGTAATGTATTTTTAAAAGACAAGTTACAAATTTTTGGCATTTTACTAAATGTCCTTTGACCATTAGCTGTCCATTTGGAGCGTCTCTGGTGCCACTGTGAGAAGGTCCTCCATTGTGCATGTGGCAGGGCTCAGGCTGCATTGTCATAGATGGCCTGTGGTTTGCTCTTCTCCACATTTGCATGTAAACTCCACTTTGTAGCCCCATTTCTTAAAGTTGGCTCTGCATCTCGTGGTGACCAGAGCACAGTCTGTTCAGCGCCTTCCAAGTTGTCCAGTATTCTGTGTGTCCAGGAATTAGTCTCTCATATAATCTCAGTCTCAGGTTCTGGGTTTTAGCCTGCCACTTTTGGACTCTTGCTTGCTGAGGTGTTCCTGCAAGTATCTCTGTCGATCTTAGGAAGCTATTTATTGATTTAAGGCACTGTCTTGCTGGCAACAGAGGATGGGCGGGAGATGTCACTGCCTTGGTCCTTTCACTACTGGCTGCTACTTCCTGGCGGATGTCAGGTGGTGCAATACTGGCTCAACAGTATAATTTCTCCAGTGGGTTGGGTGTAGACATCCTATGATAATGTGGCATGTCTCATTAAGAGCCACATCCAATGTTTTAATGTGGTGAGATGTGTTCCACACTGGGCATGTGCACTCAGCAGCAGAGTAGCGAAGCGCAAGGGCAGATGTCTTCACTGTGTCTGGTTGTGATCCCAAGGCTGTGCCCATCAGCTTTCATATGAAATGATAGATAGATGAGAGAGATGATAGATAGATAGATAGATAGATAGATAGATAGATAGATAGATAGATGAGAGAGATGATAGCTAAATAAAGATTGATAGATGAGAGATAAAGATAGATAGATAGATAGATAGATAGATAGATAGATAGATAGATAGATAGATAGATGGATGGATGGATGGATGGATGGATGGATGGATGGATGGATGGATGGATGGATGGATGGAGGGAGGGAGAGAGGGAGGGAGAGATAGATGGGTGACCTCACCTTGCGATGCCCAGCAGGAGGGAGGCCCCCCAGAGGGCAGTGCTGAGCGTCCACCACTTCCTTGAGTCTGCGCAGATGACCTCTGCGTCGGCCGCCCAGGCCACGTGTTCGCAGGGGTAGTAGAGCTGGTCAGCCACGTTATTGAGGACCGAGAGCCAGCGAAGAGCAGCATCTTCCTCCTGCAAGTGATACACACACTTACATACAAATTCAACTAAAGAACAAACCTACAGAAACTCTCTTGTTCGTAACTTGGGACAGCCTGTACCTCAATCATATCTATGGCTGGGCATCCTCTGTCAGAAGGGATTGGATGGTGCCTTCTTGCCAGGTATAAAGAAGGGGGCTGGACTGGATGACCTTTGGGGGTCCCTTCAAAATCTGTGATACTATATCTATATAAATAAAAATGTAATGTTCGTTTGTGGGATTAACAGAACTCAAAAACCAGTGGGCCAATTGACACCAAATTTGGACAGCATACGCAACAACCCAATGTATGTCCTTCACTCATTTTTTTTTATTTTGTCATTTGGGAGTTGTAGTTGCTGGGATTTACAGTTCACCTACAATCAAAGAGCATTCTGAACTCCACCAACGATGGAATTGAATCAAACGTGGTATAACAGGACTCCCATGACCAACGGAAAACACTAGAAGGGTTTGGTGAGCACTGACCTTGAGTTTGGGAGTTGTAGTTCACCTACATCCAGAGCGCACTTTGGGCTCAAACAATGATGGATCTGGACCAAACTTGCCACGAATATTCCATATGCCCAAATATGAACACAGATGGAGTTTGGGGGAAATAAGACCTTGACCTTTGGAAGTTGTAGTTACTGGGATTTATAGGTCACCTACAATCAAAGAGCGTTCTGAACCCCACAAATTACAGAATTGGGGCAAACTTCCCATACAGAACCCCCATGACCAACAGAAAATACTTAAGGCCATCCAGTCCAACTCCCTTCACCAGGGCAAGGAAACGTAATCAAAGCCCTCCTGACAAAGAGCCATCCAGCCATAGATATAGATAGATCGATATGATTCACACACAGATATAGTATCATAGATTTGAAAGGGACCCCTAAAGAAGGACAATGATATGTTGCCTGTTCCAGAGTAGGCAAACCAGACACTCTCCATATCAACATTGAAAAAGAAACAGCAAGAACTGCTGTTTACCCACAAACATAAAGAAATTACATATATTAGAAACCAACACTGTCTCATTACTTTATTTTCCAGATCACCAGACTGGGCCACAGCAATGCATGACAGGGGGGCAGCTAGTATATATATATATATATATATATATATATATATATATATATATATACACACACACACACACACACACACACACACACACACACACACATGCATACACACACACATATGCATATAATATATATATACACATACGTCCCTGTTCTGACAGACATACGAATGCAACTTGAGGACAAACCCACAGCACCGATCTGGTTTGTAACTTGAGGTCTGCCTGCATTCTGAACTCCGCAGTCCTCTTATCAGAAGGGGAGAGAAAGGACTGGGGCAGAGCTGTTAGGAGGATCTCTGGGGCCAATACCTGGAGTCCCAAGCCATACTGGCGGCTGTAGTCCCACATGGAAAGATCATCGAAGAGCCTGAGGACGGTGCGGCAGTGGCTGAGCTGGGCTGAAAGGGCCAAGAGGCTGCGGCCGAGGGCAGAGTCCGCCCGAGACAGCAAAGTCCCTCCGCCCAACTGGCAGGCATAGCACAGGGCCCGAACCTCAGAGAAAGAAAGCAAGAAATATCAGGTCATCATGCTAATATACAATAATAAAATATTTATTTATTTACGGTATTTGTATACCGCCCCTCTCAGCCTTCCGGTGACTTGAGGCAAGGCAAAATTCAATGCCACCAAAACACAGTTACAATATCAAAACTTTAACATCAATAAAATCATAATAGCTGTAATAAAACATAATTCAGTAAATACTCATTAAAATAACGTCCAATCCACCTTGTAGTTGAATATATCTAAACTATAATAAGAAACGTAATAATACAACATACAAATATATAATAAAATATAAAATATAATAAATATAACAGAATATTCAATATATAATAATAAAATAAAAAATATACTAAATGCAATAAATATGAGGGTCAAGCTTTTGGAGAATAGTGCAGTGCAATAATAAACTTGGAATATGTATAATGACGACAGAATGGCCTTGACTACGATTTCAGGATGGCGTGATTTTAATATGTAATGTTCAACATGTATTAATTTTAAATTGAATTTATTTTTAAGGCTAAATGTTTTATATGTGTTTTACGGCATTGAATAATTGCCATATGTAAGCCACCTTGAGTCCCCTTCGGAGTAGAGAAAAGCGGGATATAAATAGGGTAAATAAATAAATAATATAATATATGAATATATAATAATATAATTAATAATAATAGATAATTGAATATACAAATAAATAATAAAATAAAATATAACAAATATTATAATAAGTCATATAATATACTAATATAAATATATAATAAATAAAACAATATACCACTATATAATAATATAATAAAAATAAATACAATAATAATACAATATACTACAATGAAATAAATATATTATAATATTTATTATATTACATATTAGTATATTATATTACTTATTATACGTATTATATTTTATTGTATATTAATATATAATAAAATATAAATAATATAATAAATAACAGTATACTAATATAATATATATATAACAAATATAATAAATAACATAATATACGAATATATAGTAATAATATATAATATCATAATATAATATACGAATATATAATGATATAATATACAAATATAATATCTATAATAAAAATAATATAATATGCAACTATATAATATATATAATACAATGAATATAATATAGAGCCCCTGGTGGTGCAGTGGGTTAAACCCCTGTGCCGGTAAGACTGAAGATCGACAGGTCACAGGTTCGAATCCGGGGAGAGGCGGATGAGCTCCCTCTACCAGCTCCAGCTCCTCATGCGGGGACATGAGAGAAGCCTCCCACAAGGATGATAAAAACATCAAATCATCCAGGCGTCCCCTGGGCAACGTCCTTGCAGGCGGCCAATTCTCTCACACCAGAGAATTGGCCCGGTCTTAGTTTTAAATGTGTCATGGTGTTATTGTCTAATGTTTATTGCTATTGTTTTAATGTTTATTGCTGTTTGATGAGTTTATTTATTGTTGTATTTGTTATGCTGTTGTTTTATTGATGTGTTGGGCCTCACCGAGTCCTTCGGGAGATGTTAGTGGGGTATAAATAAAGGTTTATTATTATTATTATTATTATTATTATTATTATTATTATTATTATTACCAGAAGCGACTTGCAGTTTCTCAAGTCACTCCTGACACGACAAAATAATAATAATAATAATAATAAATAAATATAATATTCTAGTAAATATATAATAGAATATATAATATACTATATTATATTTACTATATTATATTATAATGAATATTATGATATAATATGCAACTATATAATAGTAAAATAAATATATATAATACAAATATGTATAATAGTAAAATAAATATATATAATATTTACTATATTATATCATATTGAATATTATAATATAATATGCAACTATATAATAGTAAAATAAATATATATAATACAAATATATATAATAGTAAAATAAATATATATATAATATTTACTATATTATATCATATTGAATATTATAATATAACATGCAACTATATAATAGTAAAATAAATATATATAATACAATAAATATAATGGGATATACTAGTAATATATAATAATTATATATAATTAATAATATAATATAATATATGAATTTATATAATAAAATAAATATGGTAATATAATATTACTAATGAATATATAATTATATATAATGAATATTATAATATGTGAATATATAACAATAAAATAAATATTTAATAATATAATATACTAACGAGTATATAATAATTATATATATAATTCAGACAAGACAGAGGTACTCCTGGTCAGTCGTAAGGCCAAACAGGGCATAGGGTCAGCCTGTGCTGGACGGGGTCACACTCCCCTGAAGGCAGGTTCGCAGTCTGGGAGTTCTCATACTCATCGCTGAGCCTGGAACCCCAGGTCTCGGCGGTGGTCAGGGGAGCTTTTGCACAACTAAAACTTGTGCGCCAGCTGCGCCCGTACCTTGGGAATTCTATCGACGCCTTGGTAACTCTCTATAATGGGGAGATGTCCAGGGCGATAGATACGATCGCACCCGAACGCCCCATCTCGTTGCGTCGTGACAGGCCATCTCCCTGGTTCACCGGGGAGCTGGCTGTGATGAAGCATACGAGAAGGGGGCTAGAGCGCAAATGGAGGAAATCTCGGGACGTGTCTGATCGAGCACGGGCTAAAGCCTCTCTTAAGGCATACTCCGTGGCTATACGGGTGGCCAGGAAATCATTCACGACCACCCGTATAGCGTCTGCAGCAAATAGATCATCGGAGCTGTTTCGGGTCGTGGGGGAACTCCTCCACCCACCTGTGGTGGAGGAGGTCACTGATGACCCAGCAGCTCGGTGTCGCGATTTCGCACACCATTTTGCAGGTAAAGTCGCTCAGATACACCTTGAGCTCGACTCCAATTCCATCGCAGTGCCAGAAGAGGTGACGGAGGCACCTGCTTGTCCATCTTTGTGGGATTCTTTTAGGCTTGTTCTTCCTGAAACCGTAGAGGAGGTTCTTGGGGCTGTGAGGGCGACCACCTCACCTCTAGACCCATGCCCATCTTGGCTCATTAAATCAGCCAGGGAGGGGTTGGTTGACTGGTTTGTATTGATTATCAATGCATCGTTGGAGCAAGGGATTTTTCCATCTGGTTTGAAACAGGCTGTGGTTCGTCCACTCCTTAAAAAAGCTTCCCTTGACTCCACGGTGCTGAGTAACTACAGGCCAGTCTCCAACCTCCCTTTCTTGGGTAAGGTGCTGGAGCGGGTGGTCGCCTCGCAGCTCCAGAGCTTCCTAGACGATACCAACTACCTAGATCAGTCACAGTCTGGTTTCAGGCCTGGTCATGGCACCGAGACAGCCTTGGTCGCCTTGGTGGATGACCTCCGCAGAGAGCTGGACAGGGGGAGTGTGACCCTGCTGGTCTCCTCGACATCTCAGCGGCTTTCGATACCATCGATCATGGTATCCTTCTGGGTCGTCTCTCTGGGATGGGCCTTGGGGGCGCGGTCCTGTCGTGGCTCCGGTCCTTCTTGGAGGGACGGACCCAGGTGGTGAAGCTGGGAGACGCCTGCTCTGACCCCTGGCCTTTGACCTGTGGGGTCCCGCAAGGCTCCATTCTGTCGCCCATGCTTTTCAACATCTACATGAAACCGCTGGGAGAGGTCATCCGGAGTTTTGGAGTTGGGTGCCATCTCTATGCGGATGACACACAACTCTACTACTCCTTTCCACCTAATTCCAAGGAGGCTTCTCGGGTGCTGGACGAGTGCCTGGCCGCTGTGTCGATCTGGATGAGGAAGAGCAAGCTGAAGATCAATCCCGACAAGACAGAGGTCCTCCTGGTCGATCGTAAACCGGACCGGGGTATAGGGTGGCTACCTGTGCTGGACGGGGTTACACTCCCCCTGAAGCCACAGGTCCGCAGTTTGGGTGTCCTCCTGGATTCTTCGCTCACACTTGAGGCTCAGGTGTCGGCGGTATCTGGGAGGGCCTTTGCACAATTGAGACTTGTGCGCCAGCTGCGACCGTACCTCGTGAAGGCTGATCTGGCCGGGGTGGTCCACGCCTTGGTCACCTCTAGAATGGATTACTGCAATGCGCTCTACGTGGGGCTGCCCTTGAAGATGGCTCGGAAACTTCAATTGGTCCAGCGGGCAGCAGCTAGGATGCTAACTGGAGCCCATTATCAAGAGAGGTCTACCCCTCTGTTTAAGGAGCTCCACTGGCTGCCATTTATTTTCCGAGCCCAATTCAAGGTGCAGGTGCTCACCTACAAAGCCCTGAACGGTTTGGGACCACCCTACCTGCGTGACCGCATCTCCATCTACGAACCCACACGCTTGCTCCGGTCATCTGGGGAGGCCCTGCTCGTGATCCCACCTACGTCGCAAGCGCGCTTGGTGGGGACACGGGACAGGGCTTTCTCTGTGGCGGCCCCCCGACTTTGGAATGCCCTTCCAAAAGAGCTTCGTCAGGCCCCTACTCTAGCAGTTTTCAGAAGGAACCTAAAAACTTGGCTGTTCCGATGTGCCTTCGCAGATTAGGAATCCCCATCCCAAGTCCTAGAAGCACTTTAGTACAACCAATGTTGCTGCACACCGCACTTTTAATCCTATGTTCCTCCTGCCATCTCAGCTCTTTTAACCCTGTACCCCATTGCGCCGGCCGAACAAGTTTTAATAGTGTCTTGATGTATTGATGTATTGTCATTGTTGTTATTTTGCTTAATTGTTTTGATTTGCTTTGTTTATTGTTGTGTTATGTTTTCTATTGTATTGTGTTTTGAGGCTTCGGCCTGTGTAAGCCGCATCAAGTCCTTCGGGAGATGCTAGCGGGGTACAAATAAAGTTAATAATAATAATAATAATAATAAATAAGTCTGACTTGGCCACAGTGGTCCACGCTTTGGTTACATCCTGTTTAGATTACTGCAACGCTCTCTACGTGGGGTTGCCTCTGAAGACTGCCCGGAAGCTGCAGCTAGTCCAACGCTCGGCAGCCAGACTACTAACGGGTGCTGGGTACAGGGAGCACACCACTCCGCTGTTACACCAGCTCCACTGGCTGCCAATTAGCTTCCGAGCACAATTCAAAGTGCTGGTGTTAACCTATAAAGCCCTAAATGACTCCGGCCCTGTTTACCTCTCCGAACGTATTCTCCCCTATGAACCATCGAGATTATTAAGATTGTCTGGAGAGGCCCTGCTCTCGGTCCCACCAGCCTCGCAAGTGCGTCTGGTGGGGACGAGGGACAGGGCCTTCTCGGTGGTGGCCCCTCAACTCTGGAACTCTCTCCCACCGGAGATCAGAACCGCCCCTTCTATCCTGACATTCAGGAAACAGGTGAAGACGTGGTTATGGAGACAGGCATTCGACGAGTGAGCCAACACCCTGAGATATGGATGGAGGATGATGTATAATTGATTTTAGTATGACGACTGACCACTGTAGTTTTGAATATATTTGTTGTTTTAATGTGTTATTGTAATATGAACTATGATGTTTTACCGATTGTATGTGTTTTTATGGTTGGAAACCGGTCTGAATCCCTCAAAAGAGGTGAGAAGGTCGGTATATAAAACTCTGAAATAAATAAATATAATAATTAATATATAATAACTATATATATAATGAATATTATAATATAATATACGAATATATAATAAAAAATCATCATCATCATAAACATCATAATACACGGCCTTCTCACCACACGGTCCCTGCCTCGGTAGGTCTCCAGCAGGGCGACTAGGCCGCTCAAGGGTCCCGCCGCCGCCATAGCAACGCTTCCGGGTTGGGCGTGTCCCCGTTGTCCAATCAGCGTCCCCCGGGAAAGAGAAGGGGCGGGGTCAGGGAAGGGGCGTGCGCGTAGGAGGGGCGGGGCCAGGGGAGAGGCGCGACGGCGGGTAGGAGGGGACAAACAAGCGGAGTGCAAAGCGGCTCAAGCCCCCAGGAAAGCGAATATTCAGCCTAAAAATATAGAAGAATAACCCCCAAGTCATTTCTGATATTCACAGACACTGTGAAATATGGTGAACGGATTAAGAATGATTTCCTAAATAATTTTGAATATTAGGTTCTTGTGGGTTTTTTTCGGGCTATAGAGCCATGTTCTAGAGGCATTTTCTCCTGACGTTTCGCCTGCATCTATGGCAAGCATCCTCAGAGGTAGTGAGGTCTGTTGGAACTAGGAAAAAGGGTTTATATATCTGGAATGGCTGGGGTGGGGCAAGGAGCTCTTCCCTGCTGAAGCTAGGTGTGAATGTTTCAACTGACCACCTTCATTAGCATTTGAAGGCCTGGCTGAGCCTGGGAAAATGTTCTGTTGAGAGATGTTAAGATGTGCCTGGTGTTAAGGTGTTGCACCTGATGAACCAGGCTAGACACAGCGTATTATTTGAGAACACAGAAATGCTGGACCACTCCAACAACCACCATGTCAGACTACACAGAGAAGCCATTGAAATCCACAAGCATGTGGACAATTTCAACAGAAAGGAAGAAACCATGAAAATGAACAAAATCTGGCTACCAGTATTTAAAAAAACCTCAAAAACTACAACAGCAAACCAGCAGAGAGGAAACAACCAGGCACATCTTAACACCTCTCAACAAAAGATTTTCCCAGGCTCAGGCAGGCCTTCAAATGCTAATGAAGATGGTCAGTTGAAACATTCACACCTAGCTCCAGCAGAGAAGAGCTCTTTGCCCCACCCCAGCCATTCCACAGATATATAAACCCATTGTCCTAATTCCAACAGACCTCGCTACCTCTGAGGATGCTTGCCATAGATGCAGGCGAAACGTCAGGAGAAATACCTCTAGAACATGGCCCTATAGCCCGAAAAAACCCACAAGAACCTAGTGATTCCAGCCATGAAAGCCTTCGACAATTTTGAATATTGATTACAGTAGAAAGTCAATGATAAGAACATCCAAGTAAAACAACCCATTAAAACAAAGAACAGGATTAAAATAAAACATAGCAAAGTGTAACAATCATATAAAAAACACAAATACAATTCAAGGGTATAAGACAACAATAACAAATAAACTACCGATAATGAACTAATAATAATAATAATAATTTATTTCGTATCAAAAACATTGCATAAATTAGTATATTCATCATCATCATCATTATTCCTCCATGATGACGGCAACAGTCTTGGACAGCAATGGCTCCCAAAGCGACCCATTTAAGGTGGAATCCGGTGTCAAACAGGGATGTGTTATTGCCCCAACTTTATTCTCCATCTTCATCGCTATGATACTTCATCTTGTTCATGGGAAGCTTCCCACCGGAGTGGAAATCATCTATCGGACAGATGGCAAGCTGTTTAACCTCAGCAGACTGAAAGCCAAAACCAAGGTTACAACAACATCTGTTATAGAACTCCAGTATGCTGATGATAATGTAGTCTGTGCACATTCAGAAGAAGACCTACAAGCCACTGTCTCACCCTGGTCATTCCAGAGATATATAAACCCTTTTTCCTAGTTCCAACAGACCTCACTACCTCTGAGGATGCTTGCCATAGATGCAGGCGAAACGTCAGGAGAGAATGCCCCTAGACCATGGCCATACAGCCCCAAAAAAACCCCTACAACCCACTCTAAACAGCTTCTCAGAAGCATAAGAGAAGCTCGGCCTGTCATTGAACATTGAAAAAACCAAAGTGCTGTTCCAGCAGTCACCAGCCATCCCCTCTCTAATGCCAGAGATACAGCTTAATGGTGTAACATTAGAAAATTTTGACCATTTCCGTTACCTTGGCAGCCACCTCTCCACCAAAGTCAACATCGACACCGAAATACAACACCGCCTGAGCTCTGCGAGTGCAGCATTTTTCCGAATGAAGCAGAGAGTGTTTGAGGACCGGGACATCCGTAGGGATACCAAGGTGCTTGTTTATAAAGCTATTTCCCTCCCAACCCTGCTATATACCTGCGAAATGTGGACTGTCTACAGACGTCACATGCAACTCCTGGACCGATTCCATCAGCGCTGCTTCCGGAAAATCCTGCAAATCTCTTGGGAAGACAGGCGGACAAACGTCAGCGCGCTGGAAGAAGCAAAGACCACCAGCATTGAAGCGATGGTTCTCTGCCATCAACTCCGCTGGACCGGCCACATTGTCCGGATGCCCAACCACCGTCTCCCAAAGCAGTTGCTCTACTCCGAACGCAAGAACGGAAAATGTAATGTTGGTGGACAGGAAAAGAGATTTAAAGACGGGCTCAAAGCCAACCTTTAAAACTCTGGCATAGACACTGAGAACTGGGAAGCCCTGGCTCTTGACCGCTCCAGCTGGAGGTCAGCTGTGACCAGCAGTGCTGTAGAAATTGAAGAGGCACGAATAGAGGGTGAAAGAGAGAAACGTGCCAAGAGGAAGGCGCGTCAAGCCAACCCCGACCGGGACCGCCTTCCACCTGGAGACCAATGCCCTCACTGCGGAAGAAGATGCGGGTCAAGAATAGGGCTCCACAAGATTATCATGGAAGACTATCCTACTTGGCCAACGAGGGATCGCCTAAGTAAATAAAGTAACCTTTTGCCGCCCCCGGTGGCCACCTGAACAACTGCACCAATAGGTTCTTGTGGGTTTTTTCGGGCTATAGGGCCATGTTCTAGAGGCATTTCTCCTGACGTTTCGCCTGCATCTATGGCAAGCATCCTCAGAGGTAGTGAGGTCTGTTGGAACTCACTACCTCTGAGGATGCTTGCCATAGATTACCTTTGCTCTCCTAACAAGGCCCAGGCAATAGCACTAATAGTGTTACTTCCTAGGCCTTGTTGTAAAGGCAAAGGGTGTCTGAGCATGTACAGTGTGCCACGGCCTTTTAGTGCATCTGCCTGGGCCTTTATTGCAAGGGCAGACGGTACCAAGCCCATAGCATTAAGAGGCAGCTGCACTCTGCACATGCTCAGACACCCTTTGCCCTTGCAATAAAGGCCCAGGCAGGAGCACTAAGAAGCCGTGGCACTCTATACATGCTCAGGGCCCTTTTGGCTACAGCCTCTTAGTGCTATGGTCTGGGTCTTCTGTGCATGCCGAGGCACCCTTTGCCCTCCCAACAAGGCGCCAGAGCATGCACAGAGTGCTACAGCCTCTTAGCGCTATTGCAAAAGCAAAGGGTGTCTGATGGTATACAAAGTGCTATGGACTGGGCCTTGGTGAAAGTGCAAAGGGTGTCTGTCTAAGCATATACCTGGGGCTTGTTGCAAGGACAAAGGGTGCCTGAGCATGCACAGAGTGCTTTTCCTCCTTCCCTGGCAGGGGAAGATGCCGCCCTGAAAGGTGACAGCCATTATTACTACGTGATGTCCTACAAATCCCAAGACGCAGGCCAAGGGGGGGCCTCCAGTCCAGACATACAAAGAGGTGAGCATCCTACCATCATCATCATCATCATCATCATCATCATCATCATCATCATCATCATTGTTATTATTGCAGGCAGGCACTATTTACGGCGCTCCATGTAGTCATGCCGGCCACATGACCTTGGAGGTGTCTACGGACAACGCTGGCTCTTCATCTTAGAAATGGAGATGAGCACCACACCCCAGAGTCAGACATGACTGGACTTAATGTCAGGGGACAACCTTTACCTTTACCTAATAACCCTTTGCCGCCCCCGGTGGGCACCTGAAGAACTGCACCAATGCTTCATTGTAATACCACCGTCCAGAACTCAATATATGATCCTTTGTGAAATTGCAGCCTTTTATTCTGGGCTCTTTGTAAGCTATATAAGCTCCAGCTGAGCCATAGGCTTCTATGGAGGCCTGTAGGAACCCTAAAGCAGTTTGGCTTTGGCTCAGTAGGTTTAGGTTCCTATATATTAGGAAAGACATCATCATTTATTATTGTTGTTGTTATTATTATTAGGAATTTCGTTATGTACTATTATTATTACAATAATAATAATGACGACTTTTTAATTCCCTTTTTGTGCAGATAATTGATTCCGTTCCTTTTGGTGACCCCCGATGCCACGAAATGGAGAGTGAACAGAAACAAGCCTTCACCCCATGGCCGCCTGGGGGTCAGCGGTAAGTCCAGGGGTTCCCTAAAGATCATCTAGACCAGTGGTTCTCAACCTGGGGTCCCCAGATGTTTTTGGCCTACAACTCCCAGAAATCCCATCCAGTCTACCAGCTGTTAGGATTTCTGGGATTTGAAGGCAAAAAACATCTGGAGACCCCAGGTTGAGAATCACTGATCTAGACCAAGCTTGGGGATTGGTCTAGATGACCTTTGGAGGCCCCTCGAATGAGATGTGTATTCTTGACCTTGGAATTAGTTTCAATTACCTTTGGAGGCCCCTTGAATAGAGTTTGTAGTTCTTGGCTTTGGGCATGGTCTAGATGACCTTTGGAGGCCCCTTGAATAGAGTTTGTAGTTCTTGGCTATGGGCATGGTCTAGATGACCTTCGGAGGCCCCTCAAATAAGGTTTGTAGTTCTTGGCCTTGGGGTTGGTTTAGATGACCTTTGGAGGACCCTCAAAGGGGATGTGTATTCTTGACCCTTCTCTCTCACCTCCAACAGGTATGACCCCACGGTGGCCGTGACAAAGATCCTCCAGACCAATGTCCAGCCAGGGGATGGACGCCACAGTTTTTCCACCATTTCGTCTGAAACATACAAGTGGAAAAAGCCAGGTAAGGGCTTTATAAGGAGAAAGGGACATGTCATCCGCTCCAAGTTCTAGTCCGAACTCTGAATAGGGCAACAAGAGCCTTTTTCAGGGTAACCGTTCATCCTGAATTGTCTTGGTGACCTGCCTTTCTCAAGGCAGGGTACAATTA